TGGGAAGTGAGAGGGAGGAAAGGAGCCCCGCAGAGGGTGCCGATGGGCAGAGTGTGGGAGGATGGGACAGTGAGAAGCATCCACTGGATACTAAGCGCTGGCCTGGCACATGGCACTAGCATTTCAGTGAGACCTGGGGCAGCTCTGTGACATACTGATCCCCTTTATAGATGGCAAATCTAAGTCACCTGCCTGCGTCACATAGCCAGGAAGTACCCAGAGCTGTGGGGCAGCCATCAGGGGCGGCGGTGGGGCCCGGAATCCGGGCTGGAGGTGTCAGCCAAATTAACAGGAGGAAGAGCCCAGACAGCTCCCCACAAATGGACCAGGGCCTTAATGGGTCTGAACCTCAGTTTCCTCCTATATAAAATGGGCCTAAAAATAGTGTCTAATCCTACAGTATCTCGCGAATCAACAGATGGTGCCTGGGAAAGGCGTATCCTGAAGAAGGGCTTGGCCAAGGAACCTCCTGCACGGCCATGCTGGGGTCTTCGTGACTGGGCAATAGAGAAGATCGGGACCAGTGGTGACCAAGCCCGAGGGAAGAAGCCATCCGGGCGTGCAGCCAGGCCGAGAACGCCAGGACAAGGAGTGGGGCTGTGTCCCAGGGCGATGGGGAGCCAGGGCTGGTGTGAGCCAGACAGGATGAGTGTCAGAGCTGCGGGTGGCAAGCGCCGGGGACCTGTAGAGGAATGGCAGGTGGACGAGGGAGCGAAGATAAAACTCAGGACAGGGGCTGAGAGGCTCGCCTTCAGTCCTCACACAGAAAGACGATGGTAGTAATATTTGTCCCCTTCCACAGAAAAGCCCCTTCTCTCTTTGCCTCTGCCCTCACGGAATTCCGGGCCCGCGCGTGCGCGCAAGCGACGGGAATCCCCAGCTCCGCCGCACTGCGCGGGAGGGGGCGTGAGACGGGAGTTCCTGGCGCTCCCGGACCTCCACGCGCACGTTGCCAGGACGACCGGGCGGGGCTGCGGGGGCGCCGAGTGCGCACAGCGCCTGCGCCGGAGCGCTCTCCTTCACGCGCCAGGGCTTTCCCGTCGCGCGCGCGTCGGGGAGAGAAAGCCGTGCTCAGCGCGCACGCGTCGACCCCCGCCCTGTGGGCCAGGGAATCCTCACCCGCCGCAGTGCGCACTGGGGGCGGGGCGGGGCAACCGGCTCAAACTGGAGTGGGGTTCGTTGAGGAGGTGGCGGGGTGGGAGTGCCACCCCGGGTCTTCCCGAGGTTCCCGCTCCGGCCTTCGCCGTCGCCTTGGCAACCCGGCTTGTGGGCCGCAGTGTGGGGGTGGCGGCGGCCTTGGGGAAGCCAGACGGCTCTGCGCCTGCGTGGGGCTCCGCGCCTGCGGCCGGGGTTCCCCCTCGTGCACCCTGGGGATGGGGGGAGGGTGCGGAGAGGGGAGGTGAGGGTGGGCGCCGAGGGAGGGGGCGAGCGCGGAGAGAGGGCTGTGGGGGAGGGGCGAATGGTGGAGGGAAGAGGAGGAGGGGTGGGTGCCGGAGAAGGTAGGGGAAACGAAAAGGGTGGGGATGACGAGGAGAGGGGTGCAGGGTAGGGAGGGGGAGGGGGACAACAAAAGAAGAGGGAGAGTAGGGGGAGCTTAGGGAGCAGTTAAGGGACACGGATAATGTGAGGGGGACAAAGAGAAGCGCATAAAGGGGACACGGCAGGTGTGGGGGTGACGGGAGGGGAGGCTGGAGAGAGGGCAGACACCTTCAGGACAACCCCCCGCCCCCACCCCGCGCAGTTTGGCCTGGGGAGGGAGGGGGTTTGCTGCGCCAGCAGATCGCCGCCTAGGGTTTCCAGATCAAGAAAAGAAAAAAAAAAGGCACCCAGTTAAACTTGACTTTCAGATAAACAAGGAACAATTTTTATTGTTAGAAGTCTGTCCCGTTCCGTGCCCTTTTATTTGGCAGTCCTCATTTCCGTCGCCTCCCCACACACCGCCTGTCCTTTGAGCCTTTGTGAAAGCCGCGGGGACCTCGCTGGATGGTGCCTTTGTCTCTCGCCTCCGGGGTGCCCCACAGCCCTGCACGCCAGGAGCCCTCCGGTGCCATCTCCCCTCCTGGCCTTGAACACCAGCCTGAGGTCGAGTCCCGGCCAGGCAGTGATGCGCAAAAGCGCGGCACCCACGCGCGCCTCCGGGCGCCTTCTCTCTCCCGCAACCCTCTGCCATGGGCATGGCCCTGCTGAGGTGACATGGCCCTGCCGAGGTGACATGTCCCTGCCTGTCCCAGCCTCCATCACCTCTTTCTCCCGAAACCACCAGGGCTCACTGCTCTAAGCCTGCGACCCTGGGAACCCCCACCCCGGCTCCCCTTCAATCTCTGGGCATATAAGCATACAGTAGGTGCTCGGAAAAAACATTGGAGGGTGATTTTATGGAGGCAAGCATTGGGGGGAGTGCTTGATTTTTCAACACTGATAGCTGCGTTTTCTCTCCCATGGGGGCACCTACCCTCTCTGGGCTTTTGTACCCTCCAACAGCGATTTTCCTTTTATCTTCCCCTTTGGTTTAAAAAAGTATAAGGTAATAAAATATTATGCAAAAGCTAATAACAGGGGAAAGGTCAGCCCCAGGGCTTCTCCCTCCCCCACTTCTCGTCTTTGCTCTTCATACTTATTTGCCAGCACTCAAAGAGTTACGCCTCGGGCCTGGCTTCTGCTGAACAGGCCAGGAACTCGGTCCCAGCCGATCACTTTTCCCAGTGGCGTGTTATTCTGGAAACTGCTAAGCAGACCAGATGGGGGGAACATGTGGGGCCCCTGACAGTGTTTGTGGTTTTGCTTCCTCCTGGATCTTTTGTGCCATGTCCTAGGGGTGCTTTCCAGGGTGCTAGCTGGGCAGAGGGTGGTTCTGTCCCTTTATTTGGAGCTCCTAGGGTGGTGCTAGGTCAGAGCTGGCCTCATCAGCCAGGTCCCCATTACACCGGGCCTCACGATCCCCTGGGGAAAGCAGAAGGTGAACAAGGGACCAGACCACACCAGGGGCTGAGGGCAGCGAGGACAGTAAACTAGACTGACATGCCCAGAGACGGGATGACTCTAGGCAGGAGGTGACATTGGACCAAGCTCTGAAAGACAATAGGGGGTGAAGAGAGCCAGGGCAGGGTGATCCTGGCAGAGGGAACAGCAGATGCAAAGGCTCTGAGGCTGGACCGGTTAGGACAGATGCTGGGCGTGGCCAGAGTGTGGCAGGCAGTCCAGGGAGACTGTGGAAGGGCTGAGACAACGTTGAAGTGGTAGTCGGACCACGCAGGACTTCCGCCGGGGGTGTGGGGGGGAGGCAGGCGAGTCAGGGTCCTCCTCTTGGTTCGAGGAGGAGGGCGCCAGTTGTGCAGGGCAGGGACGTGACCAGTCATATGAGTGAGGATGGAATTATGTGGCTGCGTCACGGAGAAGAGACAGTGGGGATAAGACGAGCTGTGGGACTGGGAGGGGCCTTCTGGGAGCTCCACAGGGCAATTGTGGGGTTCAAGGGCCAGGGACCCCCTCCCCACCGATACGCGCTTGTCACCGGTGGCTCCCGACCCTCCCTCCCTGTGTCCGACCTAGACGCGGGCCTCGGCCTCCCCCACGGGCGGGGCGTCCTCCCCACGGAGGTGGTGGCGCCCCTCTGTGGGCTCCCAGCGCTTCCCGCAGCCCTCAGGCTCTCACTCAGCCTCCATAATGCAGACCCCGGAGGCCCCCGGCCGCTTTGTTCCCTTTCCCTCCGCTCATGGTCGCGGTCACGCTGGCGGCTCCCTCTGAGCGTGTCTCGCACACACAATGCGGGGGATGCGCTCCCAGTGGCCCCCAGCCCCGCCCGCGCCGCGGAATCCCGGCTCCGGGACCCCGCCCAGCCCAGGGAGCGCGTACCTTTCTTGAGACGCTCTCGGCGACGGGTGGGGGGCATTTGGAGGGGGAGGGCTATTTTAGGAAAAACAACAAAAAAAAGGATGGAGGCTCATAGAAGCCTTCTGGCTCCTAAGAGGAAACCCACCTCATCCCCGGCCAAGGCAGAAGGTGGGTGGGGGTTCAGAGACGGGGCGGGGCAGCGGGGGTAGGGGGCGGCGAGGGAGAACCCGGTGGCCTGGGAGGGCGCCACGCTTCCCGGGGTGGAGCAGAAGCAGAACAGCAAAATGTAGCCGGTAGCCCCACAGACTCCCCAAAGCCGGAGGCACCCCAGAGGTGGGCGCTGTCCAGTCGCTGGAGGGAAACTGAGGCTCAGAAAGCGGCCTGAGCAGAGCCAAGGTCACGGGAGGGGCCGAGCCCTGGGCTCTCCCCCCCCCCCCCGCCTCACCCCCTAGTGACCCAGCCCCCAGGAGCAGCATTGTTCTCATTTGGCGGAATGACCTTCACAATCCCGCCGCCCGGGCCTCTGCCATTCACGGTCAGCGGGGTCCCCGAGTTGTGCAGGGAGAGGGGGGACGTCACAGCCCAACAACGACATAGAGAAGTTTTCTGTGGTTTGTTTTCTGGCCACCCCGGGGTCCCCCTCCCTCACTGGGACCTTCCAGCCTGGGCAACGTCACCGGCTGGTAGCCCGAAGCCTCTGGGTTCCCCCTGGACCTCCCAGGCCCCAGAGCGCGCTCAGCGGGGTGCGGGGGCTTAATTGCCTTCCCCTCCTCGGCTCCGCTCCTTCCCCGGACACTGGAGAGCGGCCCCCAGAGTGACGGGCGCTGGGCCCAGGCCAGGGGCTCCCCGCTCTGGGTCTCAGTTTCCCCATCTGTAAAATGAGAGCCGGGGGCCAGCGGCGGCAGAGAGGCCTCCCAGCTCTTGGCGCTTTCGCTAAAATTGGCTGGCACGCCTGTGGACGAGGGGGCTGGAGCGAGACCCGGAGGGGGTTCCCTCCACGCTGGGCGGGGGGCGGCGGGGCGCGGAGGGCGGCAAGCCTGGGATGGCGGGGTCGGCTGGCGGTGGGGCGCGGGGGGGGGGGGGGCGGGGCGGGGCACGGCGGGGCGTGGCGTCGCGGGCGGGGCGGGGGCGGCGCGCGGCGGGGCGGGGCGGGCGGGCGGGGGTCGGCGCTGCGGCGGCGCGCGCACCCTCGCGGCTCGCCCGCCCGGGCCGGCCGTGCACTTGTCTTCGCGCTCGGGCCGGGCGCGGGGCTCCGCGGCGGCGGCCGTCTCGTCTCGGCCGGTGAGTAGGCAGGGGGTGGGTCGCAGGGCACAGGACGCGGCGGGGCTCCCCTTCTCCTTGGTGGGCGGCTGTCGGGCAGGGTTTGCGGTCTCGGGGAATTCAAGGGGGAGCTGCGGGAGGGAGGGAAACTCCTCCGATTCCCCCATCCCCGAGCCCCGGGGCAGCTCCGGCCACCCCCGCCCCCGGACCTGGGAGGGAGGTTCTCCGCTCCCGGGATTGGGGATGCGGAGCCATCCCCAGCCGAGATGAAGGTGGTGGCATGGGAAGCCTCCCGCGCCGTCCTCAGCGGGGGAGGAAAGGACTGTCCTCGTCGCCCCCTCCCCTCACCGCCAAGCCTTTCTCTCTCTCCCGGTGTGTGGCGGGGATGCCCGGGCTGGCCCCGCTGCCTAGTGGAAGGGAACCCCCCACCTGCCAGCCCACTGTGCGTTGAAGCTCGTGCTCTGCTCTCTTCCCTAAGCTTCTTCCCCCTCCCACCCCGTCACTGACAGGGAGAGTGGCCGAGGCCCAGAGACGGTTAGCGCTTAGCCAAGGTCACCCAGCTGGGCAGGGGCAGAACTGGCTTTGTGGCAGACTCACTAACCCCGGAATCCTGTTGATGGTGTCAGCCCTGCGGTCCTCTGCACCCTGCATTTAACGTTGAGGGTGGGGTGCGAGGGGCCTGTCTGGGGACCCTGCAAGTGGAAGAGGGTTCCTTAGTCTCCTCAAGTCTCTCTGCCCTGTGGGAGGCCATGGCTGGACCGAGCGAGAAGGGAGCCTCACTCTCCTCCAGCTTCCAGGGCGCTCGGCTCCCCCTAGTCCCCTTCCTAGCCCCCTCGGGCTCCCCAAGACCTTGAAGGACATGGGGGGAGGACTTCCAGAATAATCCCCACTCTGACGCACCCAACCCACTGGGTGACCTTGGACAGCCGCTCTGCCCTCCCAGGGCCAGAGTCAACTCCAGGGTTCTCCTGGCTGGAACAGGTGGCCCCCCTGAGCAGTGCAGGTGCCCACTGGCCCCACCCCAGACCCCTGGCGAAAGAAAGGCCAGCTGGGACGGCCCCAGCCAGCTATGTTTCTCTTTGGAGTCTAGTCGCGCCCCCCACTCCTCCCCACCATGGGGCTGCCCTCTGTCCCCTTCTGCCCCCTCCTCCAGGGCAGGACCTGGTATGTGTGCTCAGAGGGGATTCTGGAAACTGCCCTGTATAGCCAGAGTGAATGCCATGAGTGAGCTCCAGGCCCGGGGCAGGGGCCGAGATGGGAGGACTTGGGGAGGCCGAGAATTGAGCTGGTTGGGCCGGGGATTCCTGACTCCTCCATCCTCACCCCAGCCCAGCCCAACCTCGCTCACCCACATCTCCTCACGGGGAAGGAAGTGGTGGGGACATGGGGAGAGGAGGGCAGGGAACAGCATGGGGAAAGGCAGATAGAGCCTTTAGTGTGCAGTGTCCAGTGGAAGGAGGTGGGGCCTCCGGGGAAGGGGCCTGGAATGGGGGAAAGGTGCCAGCTCGGGCTCAAGGAGGGCCCCGAGGGAGGAAACAGAACCCAGTGGGCAGACGGCACCCCTGATCTTAAGTTTCCTTAAAACTCACAAGGTCTGCCAGCTCGTGGGAGCACAGATCCACTCTAAAGACCACTGCGATCTGAGCTGTCAGCAGCCGGCCTCCTGGGGCCCTGCCCCCCCTGCACCCCGTGTCTGTCCTCACAGGCCGAGGGGGAAGCCAGGTGGCCACAGCCACTGCCAGCCATGTGGTAGCCCAGTGGGACCAAAGGGGACAGGCCCTTTGTTGGTGGCTCATCAGGGAGACCCCTGCACCCCAGGGTAAGTGGATCCCAGACTCGGGTCACCTTTAGGGGTGGGGGCAGCTAACATAGGGGTTGGATAGAAAAACTGGTGACTTAAGAAAGTGCCAACCTTTGAAATAACGCTAACAATATAACAGTAATAATAATAATTCTGCTTTCTAGAGCCCCCCAGAGTCACTGTCCCCTTTCTCCCATCGCTGATGGTGGGGAATCTGCTCAGAGAGGCTAGGTGACCCGCCCAGTGTCACACAGCCTGAAGGGGGCAGTTGCACCAAGTGGAAGGGCCCCAACCCCCACAGTTTCCACCACCCAGCTCCCGTGGCCCCGCTCCCTGCAACAGCCCTTAGGGAACAGCTTCTTTGGTCCTTCCTTCCCCTGCAAACATTGACTGACATTCTAGGGTCAGCAGGGAGCTGCCGATGAGGGTGTGGGGAGGACAGAGGCACCAGTCCTAGATGTGTGGGGTCGGTTACTCCATCAACAAACACCAAGCAGTTACGGTGTACCAGACCCTGAGCTGGGCAGTGGGGACACGGTGGGTGCTGAGGTGGCACCAGGTCAGGTCTTGTGATATGTGGGGGGAAGACAATAAAACATAGTGATGTCTTAGAGAATGCCTGGGGGAGAGGGAAAGGGCAGAAGGGCCTCTCCAGGGAGGTGACCGTGAGCTGAGATCTGAAGGAGGAGGAGGAGATGGCCAGGCCAGAGCTGGGAGAACAGTGTACTAGGCAGAAGGAACAGTACGTGCAAAGGTCCTGAGGCAGAAATGACTTGGCATGTTTCAGGAACAGTGAAGAGGCTGGTGTGGCTGGAAGAGAATGAGGGAGGAGGAGAAAGAAGAAAGATGAAGGCAGGGAGGTCTGCGGACAGGGATTGAGGTGCAGGAGTGGACTGCAGAGCAATGGGGAGCCATGGAGGGTGTATGAGCAGGGGAGAAACATGGTCTGATTTATGATTTTCAAAAGCTCCTGTGGCTGCTGTGGAGAGCTGGGACTGTCAGGGCAGGAGTGGAAGTGGCAGAAGGCCAATAGGGGAAGCCGATGAGGCATCTGGGAAGAGTTGGCAGGGCCAGGACGAAGGTGGGCCTCAGGGATGGAGAGCAGCGGGCAGATTCTGGAACTGAGCTGGGCATGGAGGATGCGTGTGGTCAGGTTTTTGCCTGATGCTGAGGAACCGCAGGGAGGGAAGGAGGGATTCATTGTGCTGGGGGAGATCTGGGAGGGCATCCTGGAGGAGGTGTTCTTGCTCTTTGAACTGAGTCTGGAAGGGCAAGTAGGAGTTTGCTGGTGGCCAGCTGGAGCTGTGCCTGGGGTCTAATTGTACAGATGCCGTGAGGGCCTGGGGGAGCCACTGAGCACTTGGAATTAGGACAGATCCCTCCAGGGAGCCTGGCACAGAGTGGCCGAGAGTCACGGAGGCCAGGAAGGCACTTCTGAAATGGTCGAGGTTGTGATGAGAACAGGAGCGATGGGAGCCCCCAGGGAGCGCTTGCTGTGTGCCCGGCACATTTCACGGGGATTGGCTCCCTGGCCCTTCCCACTGCCCCTGGGGGCCCTCACTGCCCTGCTGAGGAAACTGAGGCTCAGAGAGGGACGGCCCCTTGTCCACGGCCACTGTAGGAGTGTCCTGGGGCTGCCGTCACAAAACCACACCCAGGGAGCTTCAAACAGCAGGAGAGTATTGTCTCTCACTTCTGGGGGCCGTAGTCTGCGTCAGGCGGCCGGCTGGCCACCACCCCGCGGAGGCTCAGGGGACGCTCCTGGCGTCCTTAGCTTGTGGCTGCGTCCCTCCAGTCTCTGCCCTGTCTTCACCTGGCCTTCTTGTAAGGACATTTGTTATTGGGTGAAGGCCCACCCTAGTCCGGGATGACCTCATCTTAGTTTAACGACATCTGCAAAGACCCTGTTTCCAAATAAGGCCACGTTCTGAGGTCCCGAGTGGACGTGCGTTTTGGAGGGACACTGTTCAAACCAGTACAGCCGCGGGGCCCCGGGGCCTGTGCCAGGCGAGGGCTGCAGGGGCGGGGAGGGAGGGGCCGCCGGGAGCGAGTTCAGCATAAGGGTGGACAGGCCGCGGTCCCGCTGGATGTGGGGTCACTGGGCAGGGAGAGTTAGTCTGGAGCCTTCCAGCTAGGAAGGAGGGAGGGGACACTGGTGTCTGGGGCGAGGGTACCACTGCCTGGACTGGACAGACTGCCATGGGGCAGGTCCCCTGGTGGGTGCGGACAGGCTCCAGGACCTCAGCTGCATTTGGGGGACTCTGTGCTTATGACAGAGCCGGTTCCCTGCCTCCTTGTCACCCCCAGGCTCGCACCTCCTCCTCCAGAGCAGGGCCTGAGGGCTCAGCGGGCTGCCACGGCGAGGCCCGTGGGTGCGGGTGCAGCCCCTCCACAGCCTCCGGCCCCGTTTCCTCTGCGGACTGTCTGTGAGGGCCGGTTGTATTTATTCGCTGACTCAACATCTTACCTTGCTGTCCTAAAACCGTGATTTGGGGCATTTTGTGTGTCGCCATCATCGCAGTATCCTCACCTCACAGTACAAGCGTTGCCTACAGGAGAGCCCAGTACATGCTGGCAAGTCAAAGGCTGCCCCCGTCCCTGTGCCCCTGAGAGCCGGGAGGAGCTCCCGGAGATGCCTGCCCAGCCCCCGGGCCTTCTTCTGCCTTCCTGCCAGGCAAGGCCACCGCCCCAAGGGGACCTACCCTCCCAACCCGCCCCCACTCCCCCTCAGAGTCCTCCCACGCAGCCCTGCAGGGGGCACCCCAAGCGCCTCTGTGACTCGCCCCACCCCTCGGCCCCTTCCCTGCAGCCCCTGCTCTCCCGCTCTCCCTCCACTGCGCCCTCGGTGCCCTTGCTGTGCACTCTGCCAGGCGCCCCTCTCCCCACTCCTCCAGGGCCAGCTCCTTGGCCCCTTTCCAATGTCACCTCTTCTGAGAGGCCTCCCCTGACTCCCCTAGTTAAAACCTCATCCCGGTTCCTAGTTTTGTCGACTTCACTGGATCTTTTTCCAGCGCTTTGGTCTGTTTAGCATTCTTACTGGTCCCTTATTTGGAAAGGGTTGTCTCCCTCTTTCTAGAAGTTCAGCTTCAAGAGGGCCGGGTTTGCGTCTGTCTCAGCCTCTGCATCCCAGCACCACACTCAGAGAAGGGGCTCTGTGGCCTGTGAATGGATGAACTGATGAATGTGCGAACGACGGAGCGCGCGTGAACACCTGCCCCACCCTGCTTCCCACAGTCACGGCGACTCAGGCTCCGGCCTCCTCCCAGGCAGCCCGTGTTAGACCCGGGATGGGTCTGAGATTTCTGTGGATGCCTGGCTAGGGGAGAGGGGGCCCGTCCATCGCCGCTCAGCCTCTGCCTCCGCGTCCCTCGGCTCCGTGAGCTTCTCCCAGGTCCCCTGAACCCAGACCCTCAGCCGCTGCCCTGGATTTGGGACCCAGCCCTCAAGCTCTAGGAGGAGGGGCCTCCTGCTCAGCGGCCACCCCTTCCCCTGCCCGGTGTGCAAGCCATTTCCCGGGGCGCAAGTCCTGGGGGCTTCCCAACCCACAAGTTCATTTGCAGGCTCCTCAGGTCCCTTCCAGCCAACCGTGGGCCAAGGAGAGACTATCTGGAATGGAGACTCAAGCAGCAACCCCCACTCGCAGCCTACCTCCGCCCACTCCCAACCCAGCCACCACACCCAGCCCTGTCTCAGAGGCAGGCCACGGGGCAGACGGGGCAGACGGGCAGGAGGCAGTTGGTCACCAGGTTGACCGTCCTAAGTTCGGCCCCTTTAAGGGGGTCCCTGATCCCTCAGTGCAGGTGAGCCCAAAGGGGAAAGAGGGATCTTTTCAGAGAGCGAAGGTGGGTGCAGAGCCTGGGCAAGGCAGAAGGCTGGAGGGGCCTCCCAGGGCTGTGGCCAGATGCTTTTGTGAATTTTGGGACAGTTACACGTTCGGCTTGAATTCAGAAAGCATCAGACGCTGCAGGGCCCCCACAGCAGGCTGCGCAGGCCGGGCTCCCCCCATGGCACAGCGTGAATGCTTTCCGTGGAGCTGGGACCGTAAGGAGGGGTGCAGGCTCGGCCGTCAGGGGCCAGGGCAGTGAATGCAGTGCAGGGATGTGTCCCATATCCCAAGGGAGACATGGGTGGCTCCATCAATGTTGTGCATTAGAGACAGCCCCCAGCCGCCCAGGCAGGGGAACAGCAAGTGCAAGACGTAGGGGTTGGAACAGGGGCCGAGGGGCGACGGGAGGGGCTGGGGGCCGGTGAGTGGATGGGGGTGCAGGACAGATGGCTGCTCCTCCTGCGTGCCTGAGCAGGCATCCCTTTAGGGTCACCATAACCCGATTCCTGGTGCCCTTGTGGACACGGCAGGGCATGGATGATCCCCAGGCCTTCGCTTCCCTAACGGTCATAGCCCTGGGCACTGTCACCATGACCAGGCCTTCCTCAGGCTGTCCCCGACAGGCTGGGATGAAGAACAGGCTCTTGAGACGACAGAACTGGAGTCGCATCTGCCAACCCTGGGCCATCATCCGGCCCTGCTCAGCCTCACCAGTGTCACTGGCTGACAGGACCACCCCCTGCTCACTCACTCATTCGCTCCAGCTATTTTTCTGGACACGGCAGAGGAAACAAAACAGATCAGCTGCCCTGAGGCAGTGACGAGCGGTCAGATGCTCCTGACCGGGGCCAAAGCTCAGTGCGGGAAGAAAACAGATGGGGGGCTGGGAGACAGATGAGGGGACCTGCTGCCCCAGGAGCCTCCAGGCTGGGGAGCACGGAGCCAGATGCAGTCACCCCCGGCCGGGCAGGAGGCAGGGGACAGGGTGAGGCTGAGCTAGTGAGGCTGCCTGGGGGCGGAGGAAAAAAGGGCTCCCCACCTCCCAGTCCCCCAGGCTCCTCCCAGCCACCATTAATGTTGAATGAATGTCACCCAAGGCCACCCTCAGTGCCAGGGGAAAAGGGCACAGTTCCCCATTCTGGGGACCCCCCAAATAGCCTCCTGCTGTCCTGCCATCCTGCAGTTGGTTTTGGGAGTGAGGACTGGGGAGAGGCTGAGTCCCAAAGAAGGTGGCCTTGAACCATCTCCCCAGTAGGCACCCCTTACCCCTGGCAGCCCCCACACCCAGTTTCTAGGCACTCCCTACTGGGTAACATCCTGCTGCCCCACCCTAAGCCTCTCCTGCACGGAGCAGACGTCTGAGGAGGTCATTTCAGGAGGGAGGTGTCCGGTTGCTTTGCAAAGTTGTCCCCTTGGCAGGTGCGCATGGCACCATCAGCCCCCAGGCGCGCCAAGGTTGAGGGGCCCAATTTTGGGAAAGGGGTGGCTAGGAGTTCCTGAGGACTGTCGGGGGGGTCTGTAGTTGTTGCTTCGGTAAGGTCCCCTCCATGGCGCGGGGCAAGCGGGCGAGTGTGAGGACCAGTCCTGCGCTGCGGGGGCGAACCTGGCTCCCGGGAAGGAGGGACCTTTAAATCTGGGCGGAGCTTGCGGGGTCGCCGTGGGCGGGGCCAACCCGGGCTCGGCCAATCGGCGAGGCCGTCCGCGCCGCGCCGCCGCCTCCTCTCCCGGCCCGCGCGGGCGCTCGCCCCCCGGCCGGGCGGCGCACAGGGCGGCGGGGATGCGCCCGGGCCCCGCGCCCGCCCGCTGCTGCCCGCCCAGGGCCCCCCGGGGTCCACGGGCGCGCGGGACCCTCTCCCCTCCAGCGTCGTACGCTCGCCCGAGTCGAGCAGGGCAGGTACGGGGTGGGATGAGCAGGGGCACCCGGGGTGGGATGAGCAGGGGTACCCGGGGAGGGAGGCACCCCTCCCGGAGGGAGACGCGGTTTGGGGCAGAGGTCAGGTTTCCGTGGGGTCTGGAACCCAGGCGACACGGGGAGGGGGGATGTGTGTCTGTGCACTGCCGAGTGGGTGAAGATTCACGGACCTCTGTAGGGGGAGGACACTGGGTTCACTTTTGGGATGGGCCGAGCAGTGAGTCTCCGAACTCCAGAGATACGGGGTCGGGGGGAGACTCTCCAGAGAAGGGAGCTCTCAGGGTGGAGGCAGTGACCCCAGACTGACCTGAGGATGGAAGCGACCAGACCCTCACCGGGGCCCCTAGATCCAGCACTTAGGAGCACCTGACAGGGGTCAAGGAGCTGGGTCTTCCAGCTCTACCCAGAGAGGTGGGGCTGCCCAGCACAGGGCACTGCGCCTGCTGTCCTGGAGGGTGGGGCGCAGATGTGAGTGCTGGAGGCTGGGGGCTGAACCAGAGACGCTGATGAGGACGGGAGGGCGCAATCCGAGGGGTGGCCACTGGTGGAGGTAGCTGGGGCAGGGCAGGGCAGGCTGATTGCCACCTGCGGGCTGCAGGCAGGTCCCTGACGGTGGTTGGCCTGGGGGATCGTTCAGTCAGCCCGCGTCTTGCTGCCCTGCTCCAGGGCAGCGGGTGGGATCCTGGCCCCCTGCAGCGCTAGGCCCTGAGAGTGCTGGGAGGGGGTGTCCTGGGTCCTGCCCCACCCTCCACAGGGCCACATGACCCACTTCTCGCCCACACATCCTGGAAGACTGCAATGTGCTGCTGTGCTCTAGGTTCCTGGGGGCGGTAGGGTGGGCATTTCGCCCCAAGGGAGACTGACGGGCAGGGGGCACCTTCTCCTGGTCCAGCTCTGAAGGACAGAGCATGGTGTCAGGCGGTGGCGTACCCGTGGCCAGGTGCTAAGCATTTTCCACGAGAGAGCTCACTCTGTTCTGGCCACCAGCCCTGCTGGGTGGGCACCAAGACGCCTTTATTGAAGAAGCAACTGAGGAGGGAACAATGACTTCATCCTGGCTGGGGTGCCTCAGGGTCCCTCCTAGGCAGCCACTGTAACCAACTCATCATTTGTAAAAGGCTCACGAGAGGACCTGTGGGGTCTGGCCGGTTTCTTTCACTTCCTGTTGGGTGGGAAAGCTCAGAGGAGCCAGCCACCCTACTCCCTGCCTCCTGCCCACCTGCCTCTGCTCCTCAAGAGCCCTCCTGCGTCCCTTCTACCTCACTTAGCCCACAAGCTTCCCACGGTGTCTCCTGGGATGGCTTGAAAGGGAGGACTCTGCTCCTCCCCGACGCTGGCCTTCAGGGAACGGAGGCCTGGTGCCCGCAGACACATAGACAGTTTTGGTCATTCCAGGGACCCTCAAAACCAAATGCAGCCCACAGGTGTTTCTAACCTTTCAGGGGAACTCCTTGATGAACCCAGGGCCTTCACCCAGGAAAACACACTCCTTCTTGGACGTACAGACCTTGGCTGGGGTCTCAGAGGGCCTCGTGGTTCTTTGGGAATCCCTGAGGGTCCCAGGGACCCCAGCATCACGCCCAGGTTGCAGGGAGGGAGGGAGAAGTGGGCCTGGGAAGGGGTGCGTGCGGTCTCTTGTCCCCAGGGCCCTCTGGTCCCACTCAGCCTTTGGAAACAGCCTGCCCGCTTCTGTAGGATCTGAGGCCAGCCGCTCGCTCTCTCCATTTGTTCTGCGGTCGTGGGAGGGGTCGGGTGCCTGTTGTGCCTGTTCCCTGAGCTCTGGGGGCTCCTTGAGGGCAGAGCCAGGCTGGCTCCCCTTCCAGATGGCAGCTCGTCTGGGCTGGGCAGGTTCTGCCACCCTCTGCCCCAGAGAGCAGTAACTTAGTCCCTGCCCCGCCTGGCTGTGTGATCTTAGGCAAGGTGCTGAGCGTCTGAGCCTTGTCTCCCATCTGTAAAATGGGAGCAGGAACAACCCCTGCGTCATTGAGCGGCAGTGGGAAGTAAGCTGGGTGATTCTGTTCAAGGACTCGGCCCACATTAAGCGCCAGCACATGCTAACTTGACGGCACGGGAGGGCCTCCACTCCTCGGCCTTCCCAGAAGCCACCTGCTGCCTGTTCCCACTCCCCACACCTCCTCCCTGCCCAGGGCACCTTAGGACGCGGCTGCCAGGCCAGGAGGAGCGTGGCAGACACTCGGCTGGATTTGGCCTGTGCGTCGGGCGGCTGAGTCACAGCCCCAAATTGTGTCTCCATCGGTGCATTTCAGAAGGTCATCTGCAGTGCCCCCACCCCCGCCCAGTCCTGGCTGCCGGGCCACCCGCCTCCTGCCTGTACCCCCGAGCTCCAAGTGGGGACCTTCTCCACCTTCAGGAGGGTGGTGGGAGGGGTGCCTGGGGTTTCCTCGTCTCCTGGGCGAGGGCAGGGGCTGGGGCTGCTGTGAATATCCTGGTGGCAGGCAGGGGCTGAGCCCAGGAGGAGAGTGGCACCCAAGTGTTCGTCAGGATGGGAAGAGAAATCAGGGCCGAGATCAGCCTTATAAACTGTGAAGTGCTGGGCCTGCAGGATACCAGCCCATGCAAACTGTGAAGTGCTGAGGCTGCAGGAGGCCTGGCCTTGTAAACTGTGAAGTGTCAGGCCACAGGTGGCCACGGCTGGGTTGATGTGATGGGTGGGAGCAGTGAGGGAGGGGACAGGGCTAAGACTCTCCCCCTGCCTGGAAGAAATGTTTCTGGTGCTCTTGCTGTTGGGCTGTTACCAGCGTCTGGAGGTGTGGTGAGTGGGACAGACACTGTCTGGGGGCGCCAGACAAGGGCACAGGCAGCCTGCAGTACGTCTGGTGGCCACCCTGGCCAAAGTGGCCTTTGTCCTGCCCAATAGCATGGGTCATCTTGGCATGTCCTGATGTGACAGTTTCCGTGTCTGTCACCCCCAGAGCATGGTGTCAGGGCCGAGAGGGGTCCTGTCTGTACACACCCCTGTCCAGGTCTGGCACGTAGGGGCGCCCAGGGCATGCTGGCCTGGCCTTTTCAAAAGGGACAACACTTGGCCTGCTGCCCAGCTTGCTGGGCAAATCCAGGAGGCGGCTTTGTCCAGAATCTGCCCTCAGAGGAGGTGGGCCCTTCATAGTGTGGTGCCTCAGTTTCCCCATGTGTAAAACTGGCCACATCCCAGAACCCCCTTCTTGGGAGCAGTGTGAGGATTAAGGAGAAAATCTGTGTGAAGGACGGAGCCTGGCGTGAAGTAGGCGTTCAGTAAATGTCGGCGGGGTGGCAGCGAGGGGCGTGCGAGGCTGAGTCAGTGCGCTGGGGGGACGCGGGCCGGCCAGGGAGGGTCTGGCAGGTCAGGACCCAGGAGGCTGGACCCCAGGCAGCTTCCTCATGCGCATGTCACTGTCATCGAGGTCCCTGCTCTTGCACGTGACGCTGCCCTGTACAGGGGCACAATCTGAATGTTGGGGCAATCAGGCAGTCTGTTCCTGGGAGCCTGGTGGGGAAACTGAGGCTGGCCCGAGGTCACAGGGCTGGGCCAAGCATGCCTCGCATGGCCCTGCAGCATGGGTTCTGAGCCCTGAAAGGTAAATCCTGGATTGCCACAGTGGTCTTGGAGTCTGTGTGGAGGGCACGGTCCCTCTGCCCAGGCAGGAGGGAGCTGAGCATCTTGTCACCACAGCCTTGGTCCCTAATGTCCCCTCGGCCATACCAGGTACCTGCATAAGTGTGTTCAGGCCTTTGGACAGCTCCTGAGGAGCAGCCAGAGGCTCAGCAGAGCAGAGGCCACTCTTCTGGGAGCCTGGGCTCAGAGGAGACAAGCCCACGGTGGAAGCTCCTTGTGCCCACACACTTACATGGCTTCTCGTCCTCCCAGGCGAACCTGCCGGCAGATTCCTTCTCCATCCCGAGGGGCTCAGAAGTGTGTACTGAGGGCCAGCTCTGTGCCAGGCATTGTTCTAGGTACTTGGAGACACTGAAAGTCAGTGGGCAAAGGTCTAGTAAGAGGGTGTTCCAGGAAAGGGCACAGCAGGTGCAAAGGCCCTGAGGCACGACCAAGCTTATTGGGATCCAGTGCTGGGGAGGTCAGTGTGGCTGGAAGAGAGTGATTCTGGGGAGAGTGAGAAGGATGAGGTGGGTGGGAGCCAGACCACAGGGGCCTCCTGACCGCAGTGAAGAGGTTGGTTTGTATGCAGCAGCACTGGGGAGCCATGGGAGGGCTTTGAGCAGGCGAGGGTCATAGGCTGACTTAGATGTTTCTGGGATGGCGAACCCACGTGTCAGGCACTCTGGATTCATGGCCTCCTGAGTTTCCGAATGTTCTGGGGTGGTGGGAATGGTCCCTAGCCCTCTGGTCGGTTGGCGAGGCCCTGACAGGACCATGTCTCCCGTGCCCCTACAGGTGAGCGCAGGAGCCCAGCCGCTGAGCCATGCCGGGCCCCAGGCAGCCTGTCGCGAGCCCAACCCCGGCGCCCACATAGTCATGAACAGCCACAGCCACAACGGCTGCGGGGGGCGGCCGCTGGGCACCGGGCTGGGTGTCCTGGGCCGAGACCCTCCGGACCCTGAGGCTGGCCGTCCCCCGCCGCCCGCGCATGGCCCGGGCCTCCAGGTGGTGGTGGCCAGGAGCGAGCCGGCCCAGCCCTCACCCGGCAGCCCCCAGGGGCAGCCCCAGGAGCAGGAGGAGGAGGAGGACGATGAAGAGGACGAGGCGGGCAGGCGGAGGGCCTCCAGGAAGCCCCTGAGTGCGGGCCACCGCCTGGGCCACCGCCGGGCGCTGTTCGAGAAGCGGAAGCGGCTCAGTGACTACGCCCTCATCTTTGGCATGTTCGGCATCGTTGTCATGGTGACCGAGACGGAGCTGTCCTGGGGGGTCTACACCAAGGTAGGCGCCACCCTTCCCCTGGCACGGGGGAGGCCCCGCTGAGCCCGCCCAGCTCCCCGTGGACCACGCCCAGGAGAGGCGGGGCGTCCTGGGCAGGCCCTGGAAGTGGGGAGCTGTGCAGGGCGTGGGGGTCCTGGGCCTCCCACTGGGCCCCCTCCTGGGAGTGGCAGAGAGGCCGCAGATGGGGCGGAAGGTGCCAGCCCACTCCTTCTGCCCTGTACCAGGGGGCCACACCCTGGCTTAAGGTGGGGAGGGGGCTGCCCCCCTGACTGGGGCCAGGGAGCAGAGAAAGAGCTTCCCCCTTCGAGAGTGGCCGTGGCCTGGTCACGAGCCTGACCGCGGGTCCCCGAGTGTGTGCGCAGATGGAGAGAGGTCAGGGCCGTGTTAACCCATAAACTGTGCATGCCGGGGCCCCAGGAGGCCATGCTTTATAAACTCTCAAGTGTTGTGTCTGCCTGAGGCCAGGCCTTATAAGCTGTGAAGTGCTATGTCTGCATGAGGCCAGGCCTTATAAAGTGTAAAGCGCTGGGCCTGCCTTGCCGTCAGCCCAGACCCAAGGCACAAGGACAGGAACAGAACTCCCTGGCAGGGCGGGGGTCTGGGCTGCGCCTCCCACGTTGCTCTCTTTGCCCAGGAGTCCCTGTACTCATTTGCACTCAAATGCCTCATCAGCCTCTCCACGGCCGTCCTGCTGGGCCTGGTCGTCCTCTACCACGCCCGCGAGATCCAGGTCAGTGCCCCCCCGCCCCCCCCCCACCCCCCCAGTCATAGACCCATAGACAGACTTCTCCGGGAAGCCACCTTTAAGGCACTCTAGGTTTCTCTGGGACAGGAGGCATGTGCGCTTTAATTTTCATTGATTACCAGAAAAAGATAGGGCGGCACGGATAGGGAGCTGCGCTGGGCCTCTGGGCTCTTGGAGGTTTGGCGCCGCAGACAGTGTGTGTAGCCCCAGGCTCCTTTCGTAGTCCCTTGGACCCCAAATTTTGAAAGATTTGTTATGTACCAGGGAGTTGGTTTTCTTGTTTTGGGGACCGATCAAAACCAGCCTTGGCCGAGGGAAAGTCCAGGTCAAGGCATACGGGGCAGGGGTGCCCCCAGTGGGCTGACGTCGCCCAGGTCTGGCGCGCAGTAGGGGCCCTGGATGTGGCCGGGGCTGGTGGGGAGGGAGGCAGCCCTGAAGTTGCGGGCGCGGCTCTGGGGACAGTCCGCGGTGACGCCAAAAGGTGCGAACGACCCAGATGTGTGTCAGCTGGTGTTGAGCATGCCAGATGTGGCCCACCCCACAGCGGCATGTTACTCTGTTACTCGGTCAAAGAAAAAAGAAGAATGCGGCTCTGTATGAGCCACTGGGGCTGCCCTAACAAAGTTCCACAACTGAGCAGCTGGAACAGCAGACACGTCCCCTCCACCGTCCTGGAGGCCGGGGGTCACGGATCAGGGGCCGCAGGGCTGCTGTCTTCCAAGGCCCTCACGTTGGCCTGGGGACAGCCACCTCCTCGCCCTGTCCTCACACAGCCTGCCCTCTGTGCGTGCCCATCCCCGTCTCCTCCTCCTGTTAGGAGGACACCAGTCACCTTGGATCAGGGCCCATCCCTGTATGACCTCAGTTAACCTTAATCACCTTTTTTTTTTTCTTTTGAGGAAGATTAGCCCTGAGCTAACTGCTGCCAATCCTCCTCTTTTTGCTGGGGAAGACTGGCCCTGAGCTAACATCCGTGCCCATCTTCTTCTACTTTATACGTGGGACGCCTACCACAGCATGGCGTGCCAAGCAGTGCCGTGTCCACACCCAGAATCTGAACCGGCGAACCCCAGGCCACCAAAGTGGAACGTGTGCACTTAACCACTGTGCCACCGGGCCGGCCCCCTTAATCACCTTTTTAAAGGCCCTGTCTCCACATACAGTCACATTGGGGTTAGGGCTTCAACATGGGAATTTTGAGGCCACACAGTTCTGTCCATAACACTGCACCCTCTGGCCCATCCCCAAATTCACGTCCTTCTCCCGTGCAAGATGCAGTCGCCTCGTCCTGGCGGCCCCAGAGCCTTCGCCCATCCAGCGTCAACTCCAGTCCACAGTCTGATTTCAGTATCGTTTTAGTCCGATATGGGGGGACGGGGAAGTTCCTCTCCAGCTGTAAGCCAAACAGGTCACGTTCTTCCAAAATACCACAATGGGACAGGCGTGGGGTAGATGTCCCCATTCCAGAAGGGAGAACTCCAAGAGAAGAGAGGAGTGACGGGTCCTCAGCGAGCCCAAGAGCGAGCAAGGCAAATCCTGTTGGATTTGAAGTCTCCAGAATGGCCCTCCTGGGCTTGAGGCTCTGCCTCGGGTCCCTGGGTGCTGGGCGGCGGCCGTGTGCCTGCCTTGGTCCCTTGCACGATGACCGACGCTCCCGCGTGTCCCGGCCGATGTCAGGGCTCCCACCCTGCGTGGCTGAGTAGCAGTCCTGTGTGTGACGGACCGCACTGTGTTCACCTTTCCCCCGCCGGGGGGACGCTCGCGGGCTCTCCGCCTTGGCAGCTGTGACCAGTGCTGCCGTGACGGTCGTGTACGAGGGTTTGCCCCGCTCTGCGCTCATTTCTCCGCGCATATAGGCAGGAGTCGGGTGGGGGGCCACTGGTAGCTCTGTCGCGGTCCTGGGGAAGCCCCATCTGTCACCTGTTGGGTTGAACGGTGGCCCAAGAAGTAGGGAGTCCCCCCCGAGGCCGTGTTTCTCCAGAAGCTGAGCGGTGGGGGTTCGGGTGGGGTCTCGCCGGGGTGCCGGGGTGTGTGTCCCAGACCCGCGCCGTCCTCCGCAGCTGTTCATGGTGGACAACGGGGCGGACGACTGGCGCATCGCCATGACGTGCGAGCGCGTCTTCCTCATCTCCTTGGAGCTGGCCGTGTGCGCCATCCACCCGGTGCCTGGCCACTACCGCTTCACGTGGACGGCGCGGCTGGCCTTCACGTACGCGCCGGCGGCGGCCGAGGCCGACGTGGACGTGCTGCTGTCGGTGCCCATGTTCCTGCGCCTCTACCTGCTGGGCCGCGTGATGCTCCTGCACAGCAAGATCTTCACGGACGCCTCCAGCCGCAGCATCGGCGCCCTCAACAAGATCACCTTCAACACGCGCTTCGTCATGAAGACGCTCATGACCATCTGCCCGGGCACCGTGCTGCTCGTCTTCAGCATCTCCTCCTGGATCATCGCCGCCTGGACTGTGCGGGTCTGTGAGAGGTGCGCCCCCCGGGAGCCCCCGCCCGGGCCCCTCCCCCTGCCCCCGACCCCGGCGACCCCATGCCCCAGGGCCCCCCGGCCAGCGCGTCCAGCCCCCTGACCCCTGTGAGAACCTCCCCCCATTCCTGGCCTCATCACATGCAGCCCCCGAGTCCCTGGGGCTCCAGCTTTGTGACCCCAGCCTCCCCTGGCCCCCAGCCCACTCACACCCTCTGGGACCCCAGCCCTCTCCCCTCCCCCTGCCCCAGGGGGTCTTAGGCTCCTCTTTCTCCCGCTGCTCTACTGCGGGCAGCTGACCTCTGACCTCCACCTCTGACCTCTGGCCCAGGGTGGTGGAGGCAGCAGGAACAGGAGTACTCCCCTCTGCCTGTCTCCCCCACAATTTAACCTGCTCTCCTTCCCGCCTCTGCCCGCCCCGCTGGACTGTAGGGAAAACATGTGAGTCTGCCGGAGTTTAAGATTAGCCACTGCAGGGGGGCTGGGGAGGGAGGCGGGTGGCCCGCTGGGCGTCCTTAGTGTCCTTGTCTCCGGGTGGGGGACAAGGGGCGTAGCTGTGGTGTCTCGCTCTAGCAGCTAACCCCGGGCTTGGGTGTCTCCTCCAAGGGTCCAGTGGGTCTGGGCTGAATGACCCCTGCCGGGTGAAGACCCTGTCAGGCTTTGCCCTGAAGAGCCCTGGAAGGTGGCTGGCTGTCAGCCCAGCTTAGAGATGGGAAAACTGAGGCTTTGGGGGCAAAGGGACTTTTCCAAGGCCTGACTCCTGCTCCTTTCCAGAGACCCTGGGGGCTCCCGGAGACGGGGGAGCTCCCACTGGGCCTCTGAGGGCGACGGGGTGCCTTGTCCCAGAGGGGGTCTCTCCTGCTTGTGCCTAGCTGGGGAAGGCCCTGGAGGGATCTGTGGTGGGTGGTACTGGCACCGGGCTTCCTTGGGGGTCCCTGGGCTAGACACCCCACCCTGAACCCCAGGTCTCACCCCGTCAAGCCCCCTGTCCACAGCCCCGGCCTCAGCCTGACGTGAGGCTCACGGGGGTGTGGGCCCAGCTCTTCCTGTCATAAGGCTTACTAGCCAGGGGTCACACGGGGTCTCCTTGGACCCCTGAAGTGCCCCATGCCAGTTCCAACAGCCCATCCCCACCCCATCAGGCAGGGTCAGGATTGGGGTCTGGGCAGTGAGAGAAGGGTGCTCCTCCTCAGGCATCCCTGAGGTCCAGGCTGGGTCATTGCAGGGGTCCCAGGGGCCGCATTCTGAGCCCAGGGCCGCTGCTTGATGTCCCCTCGCCTGCCTCACTCTGCTCCCCCGTCTCCTGCACGCCCCCCAACCCAGTCCCGGGTGGTCCTGCTGCACCCGCTGGGACTCCAGCCAGCCTGGGGCTGCCCACCCGCTGCCAGAGACCCCTCTCCTCCTGCCTCCTGGGGGCGGGGTGCTGGTCTCCCGAGAGCCGGAGGCTGGGGCAACTTGGGGCTCAGGTGCCTTGGTAAAAGAGGAGCTTCCGTCCCTGGTCCCCCTTACCCAGCAAGTAGCCTAGAAGCCCCAGCTGGAGGGGCCTGGGATGGCATCCACCCCCTGCAGATGGAGACCCCAAACATCAGGCCTGCTGGGAAGGCCTTTTGGGGTTTCCATCTCTTTCCCCTGTCGAGCCCCCGACTCCAGCCCCATCTGCCTGGAACAGCCCTGCCCCAGCAGGGCCCCGTCCACCGTGCCACCTCAGCTGACCTCTAACCTTGAACGCCTGCCCCAGGGAGGTCTCCATGCCATGGGCATCAGATGGCTTGAGGTCTGGCACGGAGGGAGCCATCTGTAAAGGCTTCTGCCCCTGCGCGCCCCCCCCCCCAAGCTGGAGGGGCTTTGCAGGCTGGGAAAGGGCTGGAGCAGACCTAGAGCCACCCCCAGACCCAGAGGGCCGCCCCCTCAGCCCCCAGCTGGGCTGAGCACAGGCAGAACCCATTCATATCCTGTGTGACCAGGACAAAATCATGTCCTTTACGAGGCCTTGGGCTCTGTCCCCTGAGTACCAGAAGTCGAGCCCCAGGCCTCTGCGCAGGACTGGGCAAGCTCCCTCCCACCCACTGCCGGAAGAGCCTCAGGCCCCGGCTTGGGGCAGCTGCTGCTGCCCTCTGTGTGTTGACTTCCCTTCCTCTCCCGAGTCCCGGGGTGTGATTCTCCAGCCTCCTGTGTCCCCACATCGTCGTCCTCCCTTCCCTGGGCCTTGCTGGCTGGGGAAGTTCTTCCTGGTGTCTCACCTAAATCCTCGCCCCACTCCCTGCTGCTTCTGGCGTCCGTGGCCACCCGTATCCGAGTCTGTCAGTGTGTCTGTCTTGGGGAGGTGGATTGTGTGGACACGCCCTCACCCAGGTCCCTCTCTGCCCTGTAACCAGGCCCGGGGAGGGCCGATGTCCGGGGCAGCAGCCTGGGGGCTGGGCGAAGGGAGGGGTCTGGAAGGAGTGCTGGGGAGGAGGGCGTGGGGCCCTCAGGAGGACTGTGGGGCTGCCCGGCGATAACCACCCCCCACCCAGCCCTGCAGTGGCACCTTTGTCACTTTGAGCCCTCAGCATGATCAGCTGCCTGAGGTCGAGGCCCCCCACACAGCCGGGTGGGCCCAGGGCCCCGCTGTCCTGGTGCTGCCCCAGGGAGCACGATGCAGGCAGAGGGACCAGCGTGGGCTGACCGGGCCCTTCCTGGCTCCCTCCAGGTACCACGACAAGCAGGAAGTGACCAGCAACTTCCTGGGGGCCATGTGGCTCATTTCCATCACCTTCCTCTCCATTGGCTACGGCGACATGGTGCCCCACACCTACTGCGGGAAGGGCGTGTGCCTGCTCACCGGCATCATGGTAAGGGGAGGGCCCTTGCACACTCCCACCAATGGGGATCTCACCCCATCGCGAGCTGCCCGGGGTCGGACTTCGTCCTTGTGTTGGCCACCCCACCAGCGCCCTGCTCCTTCGCTCTGGCGTGGTGTGGAAGCCGCACCCACAGGCATCCTGGGGCTGCCTCCTGGGGTTCCTGCAGCCCCAGATGTGCAGCTCCGGCTGTGCCTGCCAGGCCAGATGCTGTGGTCCACTCTGAATGGAGTGTCCTCTGTTCCCCTCAGTCCACTGAATTCACAGCCCTTGGGTCCAAGGCGAGGGCTCGATGCTTCTAGGCCGCTGGTTCCCTGACTGTACCCAACGCCCCTGTCCTCTGCTTGTTGTGAGCCTGAGTCCGTTCATTTCTGTGAAATGCCTGCAACCATGAGCGCCATGGACACCCAGTCACTGTCCTCTGAGCCGTGCCGTCACACACACTTCCCGCCCTTGCCTGACTGTCAGGGGGTCCTGAGCCCCGTGGCGTGACGCGGTGGGCCCAGGCAGACCCCCAGCTCCCGAAAGACTTCTCGAGTCCGTGCGGGGTGTGGGCAACCTTTGACATCTGGCACCTTCTCTTCAACTGATTCGATCATCAAGTTCCCAGCCCATCCCCACCTTCCAGAACCTTCTTTCTCTCCAAGCTTCTTTCATCTCCACAAATGCTTGTCCGTGTTTTGGATTATGAATGGTCCGATGCGCGGTGGGAACACCTCTCCCCACCCGCAGTTAGTAACACGTCCGTCTGTGGAAAATCAGTGCCCGACAGGCAGAGGAGCCAGCCTACCCCAGCCCAGGGTCCACGCCAGGCCGCTCCCTGGAGGGCAGCCTTTTCTCGGCACAGAGAGAAGCGTTTGTTCTTGAACAGTGAGACGCCGTTCCCACGACTCCACCCCCGCTCAGCCAGGCCCCTCGGCTGCGTGTGGACCGTCCCCGGCGGTCACCATCCCTGGAGGCCTGCGGCTCTGTCCCCACTTCACCTCTCGTCCCCTCCTGTCTGGACGCACGCCGGGGGGCCACGTCCTCCTCTGCCCCCAGCGGGGCCTCCCTTCTGCGGTCCAGGCGGACACAGCCCCTCTCTTAGATGAGCGCATCGCTCATGCTTGCTTACATTAGTTTGCGAGGGTGGAAGGGAAGAAGCTAAGGATCAGCCAAACCCAGCAGCCCCCGCCCCGGCAAGGGGGCTTCACAGACGGACAAGGAGAGCTCGCAGACCGGACGAGCTCAGACCCGGAGAGCCCACACAGACCTGGAAAAGCCATGTTCCCTCCTCTGGGACTCGGCTCTTTCCAGAAAATTCTTCCGTGTCGAGCCGCTCCTTGCCCGCGCCCCCTGCACTCACATGCGTGGTCACGCTTGGGTCCGTTTCTAGCTTTTTTGTTAGCGCTCTCCTCCTCCATCCTTGCCCAAATGTGCTCCCTCCTGGTCACTAGGCCACCGACTCACCCCCTTCCAGCATCTCACCAACCACGAGTTGCCTGTTCTTGAACTTGAGGGCGTCCCGGGAGGGCCTCCCAGCTCTGCATCTTTTTCTCAACATGGCATCCATGCTGCTGTGTGAAGCCGTTAGCTTTTCCTTTTCCTTGCTGTGTAGTATTCCACGGGCAGGGTTCCAGTACGTTTCTTTGCCCCGATTGACAGTGCTTATCCTGAGAACAGGCTCCCAGGTCTCCCCAAGACCCTTGCCCTGGCCAGGAATCTGTGACACACTTCCTTTGGGGAGCAATTTTGTGCCCACCCAACCCAGGCTCAGCATGTTGGCGTCCAGCCCCACAGGACCGTCCGATGGTTGCCCTGGCCCTTGCCCAGCCTTCTCCATGAGTGTTTCCTCCCATCCCTAAGAAGACGGAAGTCCTGCCCAGGCCCCACCCCAGGGGCCCAGCCTGGGCCTCCTTCCATGCTGCGTGCAGCCACCATGGGAGGGGGAGCAGCCAGCCGGCAAGGGGTCGGGGAGCCCCCATCGCAGGCAGGGAACCACCCTCTGGCACCCCCTGCCTGCCCCTGCCGCCTGCCTCCCGCCGCTCCTGGGGCTGAGGACTGGTCTGGGGTCCTGGGCTCCCTGGCCTCCTCCTTGTGCAGTACTGCCAGCCCGCTCCCTCCTCCTGTGCCTCGTCTCACTGCTCCCCACCCCACCCTCAGCCCTCCACTCATCCTCGCTGCTGCCCTCTCTGTCTCCCAGCGGCTCCCTGGGGGACACACACGTGCTCCCTGACCTCCTCCACTGGCCGGGGTCCGCTGCAGTTAGGGCATCCTGGGGAGGGCGCTTGTGTCCAGCAGGGAGCCCACTGTCGGGAGGCGTCCCTCCCTCCGCTCCCAGCCTCCTGGGAACTTCCCTTTGCCTCTTCTCTCCTGCAAATGCCCCTGTGGGCCACCGCCTGACCCTTCTCTCCCTACTCTTCTGACGCTGCCAGCTGACCCCATGTGTCAGCCGGGCCTCTGTCTCCAGCACCCCAAACCCGCCCGCCTCCGTGGTCGTGAGCCCTGCATGTGCCTGCAGCTCCCGCCCATGTCCTGTACCTTTCTTATCTCCGAGCCTCGGCTTCCCCGTCTGCCCAGTGGAGAGAAGAGTCATCCTCCCTCCCGGGGCTGTGGGGTTGAACAAGCTAATCTGTGGACGTGCTCGCTGGGCTCAGGAGCCAGTGGACTTGAAGGGATGATGTCTGCTGACACTGTAGACTTTGGGGGCAGAGGTGGGAGTGGAGTCAGGGCAGGCTTCCTGGAGGAGGGAGGGTGTCCTGCCCGTAGCCTGGGACCCCTGTGAGGTGAGATGCTGATGTGCCCCCTCATGCAGGGGGCCGGCTGCACGGCACTTGTGGTGGCCGTGGTGGCCCGGAAGCTGGAGCTCACCAAGGCGGAGAAGCACGTGCACAATTTCATGATGGACACTCAGCTCACCAAGCGGGTAAGGACGCCAGTCCCAGCACGGCTACCTGCCCTCCTGGTCAGACCCTCCCCGCCTTGCCTCTGCACATGCTGGGCATGCCCACGTGCCTGCAGGTCACTGACCGCCCTGTGCGTGCCAACACTGCTGGGCTCTGCCGCCCACACAAACGCCCATGAGCTGTGCAGAGAGACGTGGCAACAGCCAGAGGCATCCACCTCTGCCCAGTCACAGCCCTGCTGCGGGCCACACAGCGAGAGGCCAGGGTTCTGCAGCCAGGCAGCCAGGTGCAACTTACAAGCTGTCTGACCTCGGCAGGTTGACCTCTCTGTACCTCAGTTTCCCCATATATAAAATGAGGAAGATACTTGCATATGTAGGTCCACTGAGTTAACATTTGCAAAGTATGCACAAGGGGCCTGGCTAATAGTGAGTGATGTAAGTGTGTTAGGCACACATCCATGCACGTGCATGCACACACGCACAGCACAGAGGCAGACGTGCAAACATGGCCTGCCCTACAGTCTTGGGACCCCAGATGGGTGTTTCTGGAGCCTTCCATAGTTTTGCACCTACCCTGAGGAACTGTTCTTTCCCTGGCCCCAGGTAAAAAACGCCGCTGCTAACGTTCTCAGGGAGACGTGGCTTATCTACAAACACACCAGGTTGGTGAAGAAGCCAGACCACGCCCGGGTTCGGAAACACCAGCGTAAGTTCCTCCAAGCCATCCATCAGTAAGTCCAGCACCTTTCCCACTCACGTTTCCGTGTCCACCTGGCTCGGAGGCAGCCGTGGCCCCCAGGAGAAGGCCGCAGGCCGGGCCAGGCATCTCACTGTGGCCTTGTCACTGCCGCTCGCATGCTGGCTGGTCCGTTGGTTGGGACCTACAGCTTCTCTGCAGGCTGGGATGGTGGGATGGTCAGAGGGAGGCAGGTGAAGGGCCTGGTGCTCATTCAGGACAATCAGTTCTGATAAGTCATGCAAACTACCTAATGTGAGTCCAGGAAGCATATTTTATTCTTTGGAATAGCCAAAATGACTTTACCCTTTGGACTTTGAAGTAGTTTCCCCTTTTTGCTTTGGCTGCCAGGAAACTCAGAATTAAATCTGTGGCCTGATCTGTGTGATCATGTGGGGTAATTAGAAATTACTTAACTTCCTCTGTTGTCCCTTCATCCTGAGAATTATCAATCAAGTGGTTCTCATCCTTGGTTCCTCATTAGATTCCCCTGGGGGGCTTTTAAAATCCCACAGGCTGCCCCCAACAGCAGTTACGGTAGAGTCTGAGATGCAGCCTAAGCTCACGTTTAAGTTCCTCAGATGAGTCCGATGGGCAGCCAGAGCTGGCAAACTTTTTCTGTAAACGGCCAGATATTAAATATTTCAGGTTCTGTGGGCCGGAAGGTCTCTGTCACAACCACTCAACTCTGCTCTTGTGGCAAGAAGACAGAGAAGATAAATGGGTGTGGCCAGGCTCCAAAAACACTTTATTCTCCAAAACAGGCGGCTGTCCAGAGTTTTCCTGTAGATGATAATCTGCCAGCTGCTGTCCACTGGAAATGTCACGTGAGCCACATGCATAATTTTAAGTTTTCTAGTAGCCACATTTAAAAAAGAGTGAAAAGAAACAAGTGAAATAAATCTTAATATATTTATTTAACATAATATATCCCCCAAATTATAATTTTAATATGTGAGTAATATAAAAGTCATCAATGAGATGTTTTAGAAAAATTTTGGTATTAAATCTTCAAAGTCCTGTATATATTTTACACTTACAACCTGTTTTTATTCAGACCAGCCACATGTGAAGTGTTCAGTGGCCACATATAGGACGTCTGGGACAGCACCCAGTCTAGGACTTAAATAGCTCCAAATTCTGTGGGGTGAGGCCCTCAAATATAAATTACAGTTGAGTCATGTGGTGCTTGACTTAAAATAGTAAAAACTTGTTTTTAGGCACTTTTCAGAGTGAGCCCATAGGTTCCCATGTCACATCTTGGGCAACCCACCCACAACTGACCCGTCCTGGGCGAGTCCCTGCCCCAAGCACCCGGGCCAGACTCGGGCTGACGCGCCAGAGAGCGAGGCACGTGGCGTTAGGTCTGAGCCAGCAGGAAGGCAGTGAGGCAGCCATGGGGAACAGAGAGGAGAGGCGGCGCGAGACCCCCAGTGTGAGCGTGGAGGGGGGCAGCTGGCTGGCAGGAGGGCCCAGGTGTGTCTGGGGCGCCCAGGTTCCTTGGGCACCAGAGGGTGAGTGAGTGTGACCATGGAGAGGCCAGGCCGTGGGAGAGGAAGCTCAACCAGCAGAACTTTAGTTTTTTCATCTTGTTTAATTATTTTTGTGTCTTTTAAAAAAAAACAGTTTTATTGACATACAGTCAATCAATAGGTGCAGTCAGCTGCACGTATTTAAAGTGTGCAGATCAATCAGCGTTGGCATCTGTACATACTCATGAAACCATCACCACAGTCAAGATAACGAACAGAGTCATCACCTCAAGCTTCCTTGTGCCCCTTACATCCTTGTCTTTTAGTTAAAGTTTAGTCCATTTACATTTATTGTGTTTGTACAGACAACATCCTTTTGTTTGTACAAGGTACAAACACAACAGTTTATCGTGTTAACTGTTAGAATTGGGTTGATTTCTAGTGCTAACAGTCCCTACTTCACAGGACTGTGGGGAGGTCCAAATGGGATGAGTGCAGAAGAGCCTGGCATAGCCTCTGGCGCAGAGCAAGTGCCCCCACCCTGCTCCCCACCTCTGCCTCACCGTCACCTACAAAGCAGGGAGAGAGGCTGGTGCCCCACTGACTCGATGCCACTGTGCCCAGCTATTAGTCCTACCTCCTCACAAGACCCCAAGGCCCTTGAGGACAGGGACCCCTCCTTGTTGACCCTTCCACAGTTGTTAACTGACCACCCGGTCCCCATTTGGTCTCTGCCATCTAATTATGGGGCCTGGGCAAGTGACTGTGCTAGTCTGAGCTTCATTTTCTCCTCTGTACAGTGGGGACAACGGTAACGCCTCTTCTCTAAGAGTAGGAGGTGGATCAAACATGACTGAGTGGCCAGATGACTCACTTGTGCCAGCCTGTCACACAGTATTTTCTAAAAACGGGAACTGCCGTCATTGTTGTCATTACCACTCTCAGCATATTCAGTCATTCCACAAGCATTTCTTGTATGAGCTTGTGTGCCAGGCATAGGGGACTAAGGCATGGTCCTGTCTTGGACCTTGCTCCAAGGGATGTTCCAGAAGGTTCTTTTGTGGAAGTGGGAGGGTGGGAACTGAAGGAGGGCCAGGTCTGGGGAGAATGTACCTGCTCTGTGCGTTGCTCATCCCCTTGATCTGGAGCAAGACCATCTCACCCTTAGGTCCTCTGGCATCACCACCCCAAAAAAGTGATCCTAGTGGAATCAGGAAAGTTTGAACTAGGGCCTAAAGGGTGGATAGGATTTGCGTAGGAAACCAAGGGGTGGGCACATGTACTAAGGAGTGTGCAGAGCCTGGGCAAAGGTGGGGAGGTGGGAATGGGCATCGTGCCAGGGAGACTGCAGGGATGTGGGAGCCATGGCATGTTCTTGAGCTGGAGAGAGTCCCCGTGATGGGAATGTTGTGTGAGCAGCCAGTGAAAAGGAAGAACTGGTGTGGGAGAGGACAGCTGGAGGAGCACGGCAGGGGCCGGGGGAGGGTACGCATTTCCTAGGGTTGCTCTAACGAAGTCCTGCAGCTGGGTGCTTTCAAACAGCGGCATTTATCGTCTCGCGGTCTGGCAGCCAGAAGTCCAGAGCCGCAGTGCCGGCCGGGCCCTCTCCCTCTGAAGGGCTGGCGGAGGGTCTGTACGGCCTCTCCCAGCTCCTGGAGCCCAGGCGCTCCTTGGCCCGTGGCCGCGGGCTTCAGCTCCCCATCTTCATGGAGAGCTCTCTGGGTCTCCGCCTCGGCCTCCCTCGGTGGCGTCTGTGTCCAAGCTCCCGCCTTTGTCCAGGGACGCCGGCTATCCTGGACCAGAGCTCCCTGCTGCCCTCGTCTCAACCTGGGCACATCTGCAAACACCCTGCTTCCCAATAAGGCCACGTCCTGAGGTCCTGGGGGTTAGGACTCCAACAGCTCTTTTTGGGGAGCACCACTCACAGGGAGGTTCCAGGGAAGCCAAGAGTGACTCCTCCAGTTAAAGGGGCGTCAGGCCCATGGGGGCCTCCGCTTCCTCCCGAGGCACCCCACACCTCCAGGCTGGTGGTGTCCGCATCCCTCGCCTTTCCCCCAGAGCGCGGCTGGGTCCTCTCAGGGCCCGGAGCAGCTGGCCTGCGTGGACCCCGAGCGGCCGCCCGAGCATCCCTCCATGTGGGCACACAGGCTCAGGGTTTGGACAAGCAGGCAGGAGAGTCCTGCTAGAAACAGTCTCCCCGGGCTGGTGTAGCCACAGGACGGATGGAGAGGAGGCTGCAGACACACTGTCCAACCCCCCCCGCCCTCTGTGGGCAGCTGTCGGGGGCCTGAGGTCTCGGCTGAGCAGCTGGTGCGGTTCAAATTCTGCTGCGGTGTTAGCAGGCAGTGGCTTTGCTCCTCAGCCTGCGTTTTCCCCTCGGGAAATGGCGTGGGCAGAGTTTTCCAGACTAAGTGCCAGCTCTGGGGCCAGGTGCGGCACTGGCTTGCTGACAGCAGAACCACAGGACCGCAGGGCCGAGGGCAGCCGCATGTGCCGGGTGGGCGCTGGGGCGGGGGGGTGGGCAGAGGGTGGACACTCCCCTGAGGGTCTGGCACCAATCCCCTGAAGGCAGCAGCCCCTCGGCTGTCTGGGGTCCCTGCCTGGCCCAGGGGTGGGGTATTGGGAGGGGGCGGGGCTGGGCACGCGCCGCTTGGCTGTGCTGAGATGACAGGTGCCTTGTGGTTTCTCTCTGCTCCGCTGGGTCCTGCCAGAGCTCAGAAGTAAGTGTCTCCCTGGGGCTTAGGGTGCATGGTGGTCCTGGGCGGGCAGCACACACGGGAAGCTCCAGGAGCGCCGCCCCAGCCCCAGGAGGCGGCCAGGGCTGGTGTCTGGGCCTGGAGTTTCAAGTCCTGGGACATCCTGAGTTGTGTCCTGTGGACACGGCCAGCCCATGGGCGCTGTGGGCAGTGGTTGAGCCAGCCCCCACGCCTCGCTGCCCCTGTGCACCTGCCGGGAGGGAATGGACTGTGGGGAGCCCGACCCAACTCCCGCCTCATCCCCAACTGCATGTCCCACAGAGCGACCCCGGTGGGTGGGTGCATGAAGGACCCCCGCCCCGCTGCGGCCTCCACCCAACCCCGCTCTCCCCGCCCCGTCCCCCAGGCTCCGGAGTGTGAAGATCGAACAGGGGAAGCTCAACACCCAGGCCAACACGCTCGCTGACCTGGCCAAGGTGAGCGGGGCGCGGCGGGGCGGGGCCCTGCCAGGGAGGGCTGGCCTGGTGCCCGCTGGGCAGGCGGGTGACAGGCGAGGGATGCAAGGCTGAGCCACGAAGGGACACCTGCGAGGGCCCGCTGGGGGCAGAGGCTCTGATTGCGAGAGATGCTGGGAATCCACATCTGTGTGTAAAATCTACTCTAACGGCGGTATTTCATTTTTTAAAAATTAGCATCTAATAAAATAGCTTTAATAAGAATATATAATTAGGGGGCTAAATTAGTGAAGTGGTACTTTCGTATTTAGGCTTATCATGACACACAAGCTCTAAAAGTTGAGAAAAACAAAATTCTGCTATGGATATAAATTCCAGTTAGAACATCAGTGGAACTTGCTTGCTTGGCGGGTAGACGTCTTGTAGGATGTTACGGTGGAGCTTGGTGTTCTAGAAGCTCAGTCTGTGTTCTAAGTGGGTCTAGTTGTTCTGAGCTCAGGTCCTGCCCTCTTTCTGCTTTGTGTTCATCCAGTAGAAGATGTGTCAGCTGGCCCAGCTTGAGGTGGACAAGCTCTCAGGACATCGGCCGCTCTCCTGAGCCCTCCGGCTGTGCGCCCTGCCCCGGGCCCCATCCCCTGGAGGCTCCTTACTGACTGTTCTCTCTGGAGAATAAGTCCTACTCTGCTTCACTGTGTGTGTCCAGGGCATTTTGGACCCACCCTCTTCATCACTATCTAGAGAATACAATCTAATTTGGTATTAACCCATGTGAATGGAATTCGGAAGGGCATATTGCAGAAGAAAAACATATTCTAGAACCCTGAAGAAACCTGGAGAGAGCACAATTGTGAGAGCAGACAGGACTCCTGGCCGCCGAGCTCGGCGTTGCAGGGGCAGCCGGGAGCACAGCCGAAGCGTCTCTGGGAGCGCGCCGCCTTCTACCCTCCGTCATCCGTGTCACAGTCCCCTCTTAGCAGAATTTTTTGAAATTTTAGAAGTTATTTAATCCTTGCAATCACGGTGGTACACTCCTCTGAAAATGCGCTTAATGGAGGCTTCTTTGAAGTAAGTCTTTAATGGCGTTGGATTATATGGGTTTCTAATTTTTAAAATTTAACAAGGTTGGGGCCAGCCCTGGTGGCGTTAGTGGTTAAGTTCGCACACTCTGCTTCGGTGGCCTGGGGTTCTCGGGTTTGGATCCCACTCACCGACCTACGCACTACTCATCAAGCCATGCTGTGGCAGGTGTCCCACATATAAAGTAGAGGAGGATGGGCACAGATGCTAGCTCAGGGCCAGTCTTCCTCAGCAAAAAAAAAAAAAAAAAAAAAAATATATATATATATATATAAAACAAGGTTAAAACATTTTCCAATATTAAATTTGAAGGCTTTCCAAGTTTAATGCTTCCAAGTTTGCTGATTTAATTCCTCTCTGACAAAAATTAAATATTCTAATAAATATAAAATGAAATATTCTAATCAAAAGTGTTTTTAAACCTCAGAGAAGGCCAAAAAGAACCATCTGAGGGCTGGATTCCTCTAGATGTGGCCCTGGGGACTGTGGCGCCATAGGCAGGTGGGACGAGGGTCAGGGGCCCTAGGGGGTCCCCAGGTCCCCTGGGGTGGGGGTAGGCCTGCCAGTAACGCGGGGGCGGGGGCCCACGGCAGAGGAGAAGGCGCGGAGGCTGGAAGGCACTGCACGGAGGCGCTGTGAGAGGCGCCGCCTCCCGTCTCGCTGCGGTGGAGCGAGGGTTGCGGGTCTTCCCTCCCGCGGCGCGGCGCTGCCCGCTGCATCCTCCGTCCACCCGGCGCCGAGGCCGTGTGCCCCCCGCCCCCCGCCGCGGCTGGGGTTAGAGACGCGGGACGGCGTTCTGGCGCCACCTGGTGGCGAGAGGCGTGGGCGCCCAGGGCTGTCCGTGCGCGGCCTCCCCCTCGCCCCCGGGGCGCGTCTGGCCTGTGGCGGAACCGCCCCCTGCTCTCCGGGTGGAGGGCACATCCCGCTGCCTGCGGTAGCAGTCACTGTTGTGGCTGTCGTGTGCCCCCGTCTGACTGGGTCGGATCCTCGGGGTGGTCACCTCCCCACGGATCCCTGTTCCCTTCCCAGTCTAAGGTGGGGTGCAGGGCGCGGTCACCCCTGAGCCGCCTCCTGCTCAGCCACGTCCCCAGCCTGGAGCAGCACGGCCAGAGCCTCCTCAGGACCCGGGCCGGCGTTCCGGGCGAAGGCAGCGCCTAAGACCACCGTTTGGCTTCCTGTACCGTGTGGCCAGTCCATGCCCTTGGGGCCGCTCTGGCCTGGTCCACCCGCCCCAGGACCTCCCTCAGCACACCCCCAGCCTGCTGGGGAGACCTTCTCTCCCTCGCCTATTTTCCCGCCATTCTCTGGGGCCTCCAGGAGACCTGCAGGGCCGGGGTGTCCTCACAGTCGCCCCTCACTTGGGTCCCCTTGGTGGCTGCCCCCAACAGGGGCTGGCCCACCGTCCCTCTGTCTGTCCCTCCCGCTCTCTCACTCTCCTCTCTCCCAACCTCTCTGTCTCCGGCAGACCCAGAATGTCATGTGCGACCTCATGTCCGAGCTGCATGCCCAGCACGAGGAGCTCGAGGCCCGCCTGGCTGCCCTCGAGAGCCGCCTGGACGCCCTGGGCACCTCCCTGCAGGCCCTGCCCGGCCTCATCGCCCAAGCCATACGCCCGCCTCCACCACCCCTGCCTCCCCGGCCCGGGCCCGGCACCCCCGACCACGTGGCCCAGAGCCCCCCACGCAGGGAGCCACCCATGGCCCCTTCGGACTGCGGGTGACGGTCCTGCCTGCCACCAGACCCTTCAGTCTTGGCCATCGTGTGGCCACCCCCTCAAGGAAGCCCTATACAGTGGCACCTCTTGGAGTTCAAGGAACCGAAGCGGAGTTGGGCTGAGCGTCCTGGGGCCCGCCCCACCCCACCGTCGAGGCAGAGGGCAGGGGCCAGCTGCCACCCGCTTCCTCTGACTGCAGCTGGGGACCCTGGAGCGCCCTCTGGGCCCCAGGCCCCCGAATCTCTCCAGGCCCCCCGTAGGCATGGAGCAGCCGGGAGAGGGCTCCTTGCCGGTTCTGAATAAAGCAGGCCCCCCGGTTGCTGCCTGTCGTGCGTGGCGGGAGGACACTCGTGGTCACCACATGCAGGTGGACACCCTGCCCGAGGTCCCAGAAGGGATGCGGGGGTCAAGGAGAGCCCGTCCCCATCACCCTCCTAGCCTGGCTGTCTCCCTGGCCTGAGCGCAGTCAGGGACGCCTCCCTGAGGACATCGGTGCCAGTGCCACTTGGCACCAGTAGAGGGAGCCTGCGGGGAGCGAGCACGGCCCAGGCGGCAGATGAGCGCCTGTCCTCCCCTTGGACCAGTTGGCTTCGCTGGGGTGCAGTCCAGTGGGGGGGCCACGCGAGTGAGGAGGGTCATTCAGTCTTTTCTGGACATGCATTGAGCACCTGCTGTATACAGGGAATGTAATGTAATTACCTCACTGATGATTCACCAGCACCTGGGCACGGTTGAATGGGGAAACTGAGGCTCAGAGAAGTGAAGCCACCTGCCTGGGGCTACCGAGCGAGGAGGGGTGAGGCAGGAGTCAGACTCGAGGGCCCACAGGACTTGGTGGAGGGCAGCCCATGGGGGCCATGGGCAGGGGAGGGTGTGGTGTGACCCTGCGTCAGAGAGGCCCCTCCCGAGTGGTCTAGAGGGAAGGTCCCCAGCACAAGCAGAATCAGAAAGGTCCCTCCAGGCCTTGGGCTTGGGGTGCCGGGGTCAAGCAGGGGCAGCAGGCACTGGGCAGGTGCTGGACCCTGGGCTCCTGGGGAGGCTAGTATGGGCCCTCTGACACGGCCACAGCCACGGCCACCTGGCTCAGGGTGATAGGTTGGGCGCAGAGAGAGAAGCGTTTGGGGAGGTGTGGTGGGCTGCCGTCAGACATGGGTTCAAGTCCTGACTGCCACCACTGGGTGCCCCTGGGCAGTAGTTGCTGCTCTGGGGGCCTCAGTTTCTTCATATGTAAGATCTCATGAGAACAGGACACAGTGTCCACCCTCGGGAGCACCCAGTGTGACGGAGGAGGCACAGTAAATACAGCAACCAGAGCAGTAAAGAAATAAATGAGGCCAGAGCATGACCAGGGGACTCTGAGGAGGTGGCATTTGGGCGTGGGATGGGATGGGAGAGGGAATCTGGGGAAGGGCGTTCCTAGCAACCGAACAGCCGGAGCAAAGGCCAAGAGGCAAGACCTGAGCTTCGTGTGTTTGGGGAACAGTCAGGAGGTGGCAGGGAGACAGTGGGGAGGCTGGGGCGGCGCCGGGGCCAAAGGTGCCGGATGGAGAACGAATGAGACCGCAAGACCGAGCCTCGTGGCTCCCTCCGCCCCGCGCCAGCCACATCCGCCCCCGCCCGCCTCTGACTCACCAGCGCCGACCCTACAAAAACAGGGCGGGCCCGGCGCTCGGGGGCGGCAAAGTCAATAGGGCGGGCGCGCGGGCGGGGGCCGGGGCGCGTCACCGGGGCGGGCGCGGAGGACCAGGAAGTTCGCCGAGACGCGCCTGCTGCCGGCCGGCGGCGCCCGCACGAGTTCGCGGAGGCCGGGGAAGCTCGGGGGCGAGGGTGAGACCCGCGAGGTCCCCGCGCCATGCGCCTGGGGGGCGTGCGCAGCTTCGCGCTGGAGCTGGCGCGGGGCCCGGGCGGCGCGTACCGCGGCGGGGAGCGGCTGAGCGGCCGGGTGCTGCTGGAGGCGGCGGCGCCGCTGCGGGTGCGAGCGCTCGAGGTGGCGGCGCGCGGCGGGGCGGCCACGCACTGGCTCGAGGGCCGGAGCGTGGGTGTCAACGCGGTCTCCTGCGACTTCGCGGCCGCCGAGACGTACCTGCGGCGGCGGCAGCTGCTGCTCAGAGGTGAGCCGAGCACCCCCACTCCCAACCAGGATCCCCCGGGACCCTCTCCCAGGTCCGGGCGCCCCTCTCCAGAGCCAGGAGCCTTTCCACTTAGAGGCTGTGAGGTCGGGTGACCCTTCTTAAGAAAGGGGAACCTCCTCCCCAGGGTCTGGGCCCTCCCACCGGAACACTCCCCGCCCCCCTCCCCACAGCCCTCGAAAGCCCTCCTTCCCGGGAACCCCTCCCAGGGTCTGCGCGCCCCCGCTCCAGAGTCGCGATGCCTTCGACCTCGAAGCTATGCGATCGGGAGCCCCTGTCCTGAGTCTGGGGGAATCCCTGGGTGGAGCCGGGGGATCTTCTTCTTTGGACCCCAGGATCCCCGTCTAACCCCAGGCCTGGGGTCCCTGATTCCCAAAGAAGTCCCCCGTCTCACGCCCAGCCAGCGCCCCTCCCTCGTTTTAGCCCACGGTGTTGGCAGGAGCCATTCTCCCCGGGGTAAGGGTTCTGTGGGGTCTGAAGGGGTAAGAATACCTCCCGGAGGGGAGGAGACAGGGTGGTCACCTCAGGCTGGGAGTCTTAGGTCTTGGGCGTGTCCCTACTCTGCTCCGAACCTCAGTCCCCCACCCTCAGGCCACAAGGCCCTTCAGGAACAGACCAGGGGCCACAGAAAGAGCAAGTCTCTGCCCCAGCAGCGTGCTGTGTGGCTCAAGAGGATGTCAGCCTCTCTGGGCTGCCCTGGCTGCCCTCTCCGGCTGAGCCGGACCCCACTATACCGGTGTGCAAAGAGGGCAGAGGCAGGAGGCAGCTCAGCCCCCGCCCCCGCCCGCAGCCCCCTCCTTTCCAGCTTTGCGGCCTTGTCCCCACCGCGCCAGGTGCAGGGACTCTTGCCTGCCCGGCTGTGGAAACCGCGGCGGGGCGGCCTTAGGGCGCGGCAGGAAGGGGCCCGGGAGGCACTTCCCGTCCCCTGAGGCTCAAGGGAAATTGGGGCTGGTCTCAGCCTGCGGTCCCCTGGTCCTACTCACTGGCGGCTTCCTTAAGACACTGGCGGGAGAAGCTTGCAGAGCTGCTGTGCGACCTCTGGCACATGGCCTCCCTACCTCTGGGGACCCATCCGTGAAATGGACTGAAGGAGACGCTGGCCCCCCAGGGTCACCTCATCCCCCACCTCCTCCTGGGCTTATGGCCTCCTGTCCTCCCTCTAGGGTCTACTTGACCCTGGGAGAAGGGCCCAGCCCCTCATTTCAGCCCCAGCGCCACCGCCTCCAGGCAGCCCCCCAGGCTGATCAGTTAGTTGACAGCCTCTGCCCCTCCCTTCGGTCCTGCTCTGACTCCCATCACGGGCTGCGGGTAATTGTGTCAGGTTATGAGCGTCCTCCACTCGGGGTGCCAAGGCCTGAGCGGGTTCCCAGCTCGCCTGAGCCAGACTCAAAAGGGACCGCTAGGGAAGAGGGTGGGTTGGAGCAGCAGTACATCCTGCTGCCACCAGAGGGCGCCAGCGCCCCTCAGACTGCGAGGAGGCAACTCCCGCCCTAGAAACCCTCCGTGCGGTTCTTCTCTGGGGAAACTGAGGCCCGGAGAGGGATCATATCGCCCCCTCGCACCGCAGCCCTGGCCCCGGGGGTGCCTGGAGCGTCCCATGCACTCGGCTCTGTCTGTGAGGGGACTGGGGCTGGGGGTGCCCGAAGCGGGCACAAGGGCCACGCCCAGGCGGCAAGTAAGTTAGCGAGGGAGCTGACAGCCGGGAAAGGAGCGCCGGGTGGTAGGAACAGCTTGGGCAAGAGCGCCGGGGCGCGGCCTGGTGGCGGCGTGTCGGGAGCGGGGTGAAGACCCCGGGCGAGGCTCTGGGTGGGTCGAGTTGGGGCTACATGGTGATCCACGCACAGCCCTCTGAGGTCGGCAGTGATTTCCTCCCGGCTCTACAGACGTGGAGACTCAGGCTCCAGGAGATAGTCATTAGCCTGGGGTCACCCAGCTGAGCGGGGTTCGCATCAGAGGAGGGGGCAGCAGGCGCCCGAGTGGAGGGAGGACCCCCACCTCTTCCTCCCCCATTGCACAGAGGGGGACACTGAGGCCCGGGGGAGTCCTAGGCTCTCAGGACCGCGGTGGGGGCCAGGCCGTTCCCCTGCAGCTCGGGTGAGCACGCCTCGCACGAGTCACGTCTGCAAGTGGTGGCCGGTTGGTGATTAAGCCGAGGGGCAGAAAGCTCTTGCGGGGCGACTTCAGGCCCTGGCCCGCCGCCGGGCCCCAGTTGCCCTTCTTTATCCCGGGGTCCGCGGGAGACCGGCTCTGGCCTGGGGAGGTTCGGTTTCACCCCAGGGTCCACGAGGGCAGAGGGCAGCCAACCCCGAGCCCGCAAGTTTGTTATTTTGCTCCACGCCTGGGCGGAGCCACGCCCCTCGCCGCACCATTGGTGTATTCCTCCCCGGGGGCGGGGCCGGACTCTCGCCCCGCCCCTCCCCGCCCTGCCGTATAAAGGCGGCGCCGGCACAGGCCGCGAGGAGTCTCTGCCCGGGTCAGCGAGCGCGCCTGCGCGAGCCGGGTGGGTTCGCGTCCCGAGGCTGCCGTGTCCGCCACTCGCGCCGCCGAGTCGCGGGTTCGAGACCAGGGTCCGCGCGTCGTAGGTTCGCCTCCGGGCGTGATGCTGTTCGACAAGGTGAAGGCGTTTGTGGTGCAGCTGGACGGCGCGAGCGCGGGCACCGAGCCGGTGTTCAGCGGCGGCCAGTCCGTGGCCGGCCGGGTGCTGCTGGAGCTGGCGGGCCCGGCGCGCGTGGGCGCCCTGAAGCTGCGCGCGCGGGGCCGCGCCCACGTGCACTGGACCGAGTCGCGCAGCGCAGGCTCGAGCACCGCGTACACGCAGAGCTACAGCGAGCGCGTGGAGGTCTTGAGCCACCGTGCCACGCTACTCGCGCCAGGTACGGGCCGAGGACCCCCGCGAGGCGCACGTGCTGCGCGTTCCGGGGACCCCGCGCAGCCACTGAGCCGCCTCCTCTTGCTCCTACCTGCAGACACTGGAGAGACCACGACGCTGCCTCCTGGGCGCCACGAGTTCCCATTCAGCTTCCAGCTGCCCCCGTAAGTCCTTAGGGTGCAGGATTGTGGGCAGTCCCTAAGGCTACTGTCTCTCTGGACAGTGTCACTGTGTGTCTCTGTGTGTCTCTGTATCTCGCCCCCTGAAGCTTCTTGCCTCCGCTCGCAGGACCCTGGTGACGTCGTTTGAGGGCAAACATGGCAGTGTCCGGTACTGCATTAAGGCCACCTTGCACCGGCCCTGGGTCCCTGCCCGCCGCGCCCGGAAGGTCTTTACTGTTATCGAGCCTGTGGACATCAACACGCCTGCCCTGCTGGTGAGCGCTGCCCTCCACCTAGAGGTAGCATGGGAGCATTGCAAGCAGGGGCTTGGCTGTTGGGTGACGCCCACCAGCTCCTCAACCCCTTCACACAGTGGGGGCCACAGCTGGGCCCTGGCAGGGAGAGAGCCAGGCGTGGGAATGCCTGTGGGGTCCAGTGGAGCTGAGTGCAAATCCCAGCTGCACCGATTTGCTGTCTGGCTCTGGGCAAGTGTCTCTCTTTCTGAGCCTTAGACATCTTGTCTGTGAAATAGGGCACAGGCAGGACTTGCGATCGTAATGGCTTATTGAGCACTGATGACACACTAAGCACTTGGTTGCTAATTTATAGTTTAACAAGATGGGGAGTATTCCTGGGTCCAGTTTAAAGATAGTTTCTAGGTCGTTAAAAAGAAACCAAGAAACTAGGCGCTGCCCGCAGTCCTCACTCAGCTGGGGGTGGTTGGGAAGCTCACAGGGCCTGTGGTTTGCATAGAGTGACCCGTCCGTGTCCCTGTCCTCTACCCCGCCAGGCCCCTCAGGCAGGCGCTCGGGAGAAGGTGGCCCGATCCTGGTACAGTAACCGCGGCCTCGTCTCCCTCTCGGCCAAGATCGACAGAAAGGGCTACACCCCAGGTAGCAGGCGGGACGGGCTGGACGGGGACGGGCCGGTGTCGGGGCTGCAGGCGGGGAAACTGAGGCCCTGCGGCCCCACCCTGCAGGCGAGGTGATCCCCGTCTTCGCCGAGATCGACAACGGCTCCACACGCGCGGTGCTGCCGCGGGCGGCCGTGGTGCAGACGCAGACGTTCATGGCGCGCGGCGCCCGCAAGCAGAAACGCGCCGTGGTGGCCAGTTTCTCGGGCGAGCCCGTGGGCCCCGGGCGGCGGGCGCTGTGGCAGGGCCGGGCCTTGCGCATCCCCCCGGTGGGGCCTTCCATCCTGCACTGCCGCGTGCTGCACGTGGACTACAGCCTCAAGGTAGGGGTGCTGGAGGCGGCCGCGCCGCGCGCTCCCGGCACCGGAAGGGCGCCCTCCCTGATGGCTCGCTCCCCCAGGTCTGCGTGGACATCCCGGGCACGTCCAAGCTGCTCCTGGAGCTGCCGCTGGTCATCGGCACCATCCCCCTGCACCCCTTCGGCAGCCGCTCGTCCAGCGTGGGCAGCCACGCCAGCTTCCTGCTGGACTGGGGGCTGGGGGCCCTGCCCGAGCAGCCCGAGGGTGAGTGCCCGTCCAGCCGTGGGGGCGGGTGGGCAGAGCGCGGTGCCAGCCACTCTCCCCGAGCCCCTGCAAGTGCACGTGGGAAGTCCCACTGGCGGCCACCGCTGCTCCCAGAACCCCGCCGGAGGGCGCGCGGCCCCACAAGCAGCCCCAGGACGGGCACAAGCCAGCTCCCGGCCATTGTCCCCAATTCCGGGATCCCTTTCTCTTCTCCCAGCCTCACCCCCCCCCCCCCACCGTCTCACTTCCAGCGCCCCCCGAGTACTCAGAGGTGGTGGCAGACGAGGTGGCCGCCGGGGGCCGGAGCCCTCTGCCCCTGCCGCAGGCCCCTGACGTGAGCCTGGAAGGCCCCTTCCTCGCCTATGTCCGGGAGTTCCGATACCGCCCGCCCCCGCTGTACTCCGAGGTGAGCTGGGGGTCAGAGGAGTCCCCGTGCTCTCCCGCATCTGGGGGCCGGGACCGGCTGGGAGACACGGAGGAGTTTTAAACGGTAACAGAATTCCAGGGCCCGCCCCCGCCCTGCACCCCAGTCTGCTCTAAGCGTCTGCCCCGGCGGGGAGGGTGTTTCCGATCCTCCGGGAGCCCTGAGAGCTGATGGGACTGTGCTCCCCAGGAGGACCCAAACCCACCACCCCGGGCCACGCGGCCGCGCTGCATGACCTGCTGAGCAGCAAGTGGATCCATCAGGGATGAGGCTGACACGTGCTTCTAGCCACCGTGGATGTGGGAGTGGCTAGAAAAAGAGCAGACCGGCCTGACTGCATTGAAGTTGGGGAAACCGAGTCTCAAAACCGGTCAGGGCTGTTCCAGCATCACACCGGACAGAGGAAAAGCCAGTCTGGAATGTGACTTATCTGGACTGGTCCTTGTAAGGCATCAAATGCCCCATGCAGGATCTGAGCAAGAGACTGTTCCACCTGTTTCTACCAGTCTGTGAACAGGGCTGGGGTCCCCCAGGAGCCTCCAGTCTGGGAGAGATACAGCCAACATAAATACTCTCAGTCTCATTGGACCAGAGGAAGGTTCCCGGAGCTGGAAGAGTCCAAAGGCATAGAAAAGGCTTACTGGAGGAACGGGCATTTTAGCTGAGGCTTTGGTGTATGAATAAGAGCTCAGCAGGCAGGCAAGCAAAAGGGAGAAGAAGTTGGAGAAGGTCAGAGCTGAATGATGTTTGGAAGCTGGCCCCTTCATTTTAGAGTTGGGGCTCGGCGGGCAAGTGCCTCAGTGGAGGCCATACTGCAAGGTTCGACAGGCGGGAGGGCCCAGGAACGAGGCATTCAGGGAAGCAGGTCAGTGGAACCAGGTGGGGCCTCTGGGCGGCAGCCTTTCAAAGCCAGAGATTCCAGGCCCTGGCTGGGGCGGCCTGGGCCTCCGCCAAGTGCTCCAGGACCTGCAAGCCTCCTAGGTGTTGTCGTGGCCTGAAGACCCAGGTTCAGAGCAGGACATGCACGACAGGGCTGTGTGACTTGCAAAATGAAAATGTGGGGCCCTTGTTCCAGGATTGTTGAGAATTTCTGGACAGTGACAGCAGAGCATGAGACCAGGCCCTGCAGAGGGCAGCCTGCACAGCGGGGGACACAGCAGGGCCCTGCGCTGCCTGAGACCCAGCGTGTCCTGGAGGGACACAGTGGGGGGCAGCAGGACAAGCACCCAGGTGCGGAGTGTCCGCCTGGCCGGGGCCGGCCCTCCAGGACTCAGCGTTTGTGAAGAGCCTGAAATCAGTGTCTTTGTACAGTTACTTTTTAAAAATAAAGACGTGGCAGACAAGAAGGAGCCTGTCTGTCTCCTTCCCCTGCAGCTGCCGGGGGACCGGCGCAGCCTTGACCGCCCTTCTGGGTCAGCATCTCGGGGGTTCAGTTCCAGACCATGGAGGGCTGAGGGGCCCACTCTCCAGAAGGGGAAACTGAGGCCCAGGGACACACAGGGAGGCTGAGCTCGGGTTGGAGCCAGGCCCATGCCAGTCGCCTAGTGCAGTGGCAGAGGCTGGAGTGTGAAGGTGGAGGACAGACAGACCCCACAGAGCCTCAGGAGAGCGGGGTGGGCTGCGCGGGCACCTGCAGGGGGAGCCTGCCTCTGAGTCTGGGCTGCTGCTGTTTTTGCTGAGGTACAATTCATACACCATAAAACTCACCATTCTATAGTATACAATTCGGTAGCATTTGACACATTCACAATGTTGTGCAACCATCACCTCTAGTTCCAGAACATTCCATCACCCCAAAGGAGACCTCCTAGCCCCATTCTGCACCGGCTAATCTGCTGTCTGCGGAGACTGGCCTGTTCTGGACGTTTCATGGAAGGGGGTCGCGCTGTGTGCCCTTCTGTGCCTGGCTTGCCTCGCTCAGTGTGAGGTTCTCCAGCTCAGTCCACGTTGCAGCGCGAATCACTGCTTCACGCTTTTTCCCAGCTGCCTAATATTCCACGTGCGGCCGCACGCACTCTTTGTTCACGTGTTCCCGTGGACGGACAGCTGGGTCACTTCCCGATGCGGCCATGGGGACAAGGGCGGCCGGCACACGGGCCGCACGTTCGTCTGCAGACTGGGCTCTGAGGCCGCCACATGGGCAAATGCTGTCATCCTTCTGGAGTGGCAGGTGGGGAAAGGGAGTCCAGCAGAGCGAGGAGCTCGTCCCAGACCCCGCAGTCAGGAAACACCCCTCCGCCCCCCGCGCCAGAGTCCCGTGGGCGCCAGGCAGTCACGGTCAGCCGGCAGCCCGGGGGCCGTCAGCGGGGCGAGGGGCAGGGACGGCACGGTGAGAGCTGAGGTCGGGTTTTGCTCTCTCTGTGACTACGGGCAGGTTACTGGCTTCTGAGCCTCAGTTTCCCCATCTGAGACTGGGACGCTCCCCTCCCCGGCCTGAGTTTGGGCCCTGATTTCCAGCCGCTCCTCGCCCTGGGGTCCGCCCAGCACCCGCAACCAGCAGCGTCTGCTCTGGGCAGCTGACCTGGCATCGAGCTCAGAGCCTGCCAGACTTGGAGGTCCCTGGGGCCAGGCGAGGGGAGAGGTCCCACAGCACAGTCACCTAGACCCCAAACCAGCAGCCTCCGGAGGGGGTGAGTTCCCCGTGACTCAGGGTGTGCTAGACGTAAGGTCCTCATTTCGGGATGCATGTTTCCAATCTGAGAAGAGTCTGAGGTGTTTATCACAACAGCGGATGTGGGCAGAGTTCCCCAGAAGGTTCTCCCAGGCGAGCTTGGGAGGACGAGCCATCCCGTGGCTCCAGGACTCCTGTGTCTGCAACAGCAGGGAACCTGATCCCAAAAAGCAGAATTTCTGGCTCAGATAAACGAGAGCCCAGAATTCAGGGAGCTCCCTGAACACAGGGAGGGGCCCATGGCCGAGAGGAGGGTAGCCAAATATTCTCCTAAAATAAAACCCCACCGCTCCGCCCACGCCCTCCTTCCAGCTCCCCCTCCATCTCCAGCTGCTGCTTAAATACCGCCAGCTCATTCCCACCTCAGGGCATTTGCACAAGTGATTCTCTCTGCTGAAGGCTCTTCCCCACAGCTGGCTCCTCTTTGTCCCCTAGCCTCATCTTTTCAGGGACACCCAACCTCCTGGCTGGAGTCAGCAGCCCCCATCACTCCCTTTCCCATCCCCCTGTCCTATTGTCTTTGTAGCCCTTGTCACCCTCTGAAATTCCCTACTCAGATATTCACTTGTTTGTCTGAGCTGCTGAGGGCGGGGCCGGGTCACGGCTGTGTCCCTGGTCTCAGCACATAGCAGGCGTGAGGGGGATTGTTGACTGACTCAGTGACTGGAGGGGACTCCCCTGCTACTCGGGTGTGGATGAAGATTCTGACAGGGATGGGAATGTCACCGCCTGCCACTTATTCCCAGGACCCCCTAGAATCAGCCTGTCGCCCGTTGAGAGAGCCAAGCAGCTGGTCTCTGTCTGCCACGACTGACCCTGTCTCTCTCAGTCTCTGACTCTCACCATCTCCCCGTCTCTGTCCCTCCATGCTGCGCGCTCACTATCTCTTGCTGTCTCTGGCTCCCCATCGCTGGCTCCCTGTCCGTTGGTCTCTGTCTCTCATTGTCTCTGGCTCTGGCTCACCTTCTCTGCCTCCCTGTCTCTCACTCACTATCCATCTCTCACTGTCTCTCTTGGTCGCTGTCTCTCTCGGTCTCTGACTCTCTTGCCATCTCTGTCTCCGGCCCAGACCAGGCCAGGCCAGGGGGAACAGGGTGACAGGCAGGGAGTTGTTTGTCACTCCCTCGCGGGCAGGGAGCCCAGCCGGGCTGCTGTTCAGGAATCCTCTGGCCACCCCGCGCCAGCCACCAGGCACAGCAGCCGCCAGCCTCTCCTCCCAGCACATTCTGTCCTAAGCAGGGAGCGCTGAGGGCGGGCGGGAGCGAGTGCATTCCTGCTGGGCTCCAGTTACGGGACAGCCTGTCCTTGTGGCCCTGCTCCCCACCAGTGCTGCCCACTGAAGCCTCCCCTCCCAGCTCTGGGCTTAGATCTTCCTGAATGGGGCCCCTCTGCCAGCTCATCCCCACCTCAGGGCCTTTGCACCTACTGTGCCTTCTGCCTGGACCTCCCTCTCCTCAGATCTCCCAGGACTCCCTCCCCTACAGGCCTCAGATGACACGTCACCTCCTCAGGATGCCCCCTGTCCTGAGGCCTAAGCGCCCCCTCAGCTCCCCTAGCCCTGCCCTCATGCAGTGGCTTCCTGATCTCTGCCCCTCCCCAGAGTGGACAGATTTACTTGTTTGTTGACCGGGTGTCTGTTAGCCCAGGGCCCGCCTGTGGCCCCAGCTCCAGGCACACATAGTGGGCACTCGATGAGTATTTTAGAGTTGATGTCATTTCCTCGAGAAGCTCAGCTCTCAGCGGGGCCAGGCTCACTCAAGCAGCTCCCGTCCCCTCTGCCTGCCTGTGCTACCCCAGCCCTGCCTCCTCCTGGCCCTGTGCCCCTGGTGTTCCCTGCGCCCACAGCAATCGCCAGACCTCCCGCCTCAGCCCAAGGAGCTCCCTCCGCCAGAGGCACCTTCTCCAGAGAGGCTGGGTCCCTCTTGGGCTCCACACGCCGGGCTGCCGTGATGGACACGCACTCACGCACACACTCGTGCACACCGAGACGGGCCGAGACTCGGCTGACAGACCCTTGTGCATGGCATGGAGCAGCTAACGTCTGTCCGCGCGGGTGTGATAGTGGTGCCCGCGCTCACCCCAGCACCGAGGCCGGGCCCCCATGTGTGAGTCTCCCAACTCTGGGGGGAAGCAGTTCCGGCCTCAGTCCTACGGGTGGGACAGGACGCAGGCTCCGAACCCACGCCCTGCCGCACACAGAGCTGTGTGCACGCACCCTGCCCACGCTGTGCCCACCACCCCTGTGTTGTGGTTCAGAAGGTCAAGGACAGCCCGGGACGCAGCGGCACGGGGGGCAGGGGGCACATGGATCACCATGGGGCAGGGGCAGGCCTGGACGGGCCCTCTGTGCTCCACACGCCAGCCCTGCTGAGCCCGATTCACAGGTAGGGAAACTGAGGCACAGAGAACAGGTGACTTGCCCAAGGCACCTCAGCCTGAATGGGGCAGTCAGGGGACCCCTAACTGCTTGATAAAAGGGTCTTAGGGGCATCTACTCTCCCTGACCCCATTTGGTGGGCAGAAGGAGCCAGGACCACTGCCAGGCTCTAGATGTGGACAGATGAGCAGGTCTGGCCAATCAGAGCCTTTTGCCAGCACAGCCACAGGGACCGCAGGGATGGGTTCAGGGATAGGCATGTGACTCCGGCTGGGCCAGTCACCGTGGGAGTTTGGGGGCTTCCTGGAGGTGGTGATAGGGGCCATCTTTGCCACCATGAGGAGGACAGTGGAACAGACAGTCCTGAGGACATGGTGCTGGAGTCCACAGACACCATCAGCCCCAGGGAGTCAGGGTGGAACCAGAGAGAAGGATGGGAGCTGGAGGGTACTGGGAGGGCTTCCAAGAGGAGAGGACATTTAAGTTGGGGCTTTGATGGATGAAGAGAAGTTCAGCAGGGAGCTAGGAAAGAGCATTCCAAGCAGAGGGAACAGCTCTGCAACCACAGCAGGCAAGACAGAGCCAGGTGTGTCCTCAGCCATCCCAGTGGCTCTGGGGCTGGAGCATAGAGGGGGCAGCCACAGGTGTGTGTTTCTTTGCTCCTGTCTGGGTGCTCCCACCACCAGCAGACCCTAAGGTGAGACCGGGTCTGCTTTGTTGGTGGCTGACGCTCCATTAATGTTTGTGATTTCATAGGTGGTCTTTCTTTTGGGGATACCGACAAGTGGGATGGGTGGGGTGGGTGGTGAATGGGGGGATCGGATTCATGGAGCAGGAGAGCCTGAGGCTGTGCGGCAGTGGCCGGAAGCCTGGGAGCCAGGCGGGGTCCAGGCGGAGGGGGCCATGACCCCTGGGAACCACCCGGGGCCGGGCTCCAGGCAAGGGCAGGTTAGAGGGCTCCCACTACCACCCCTTCCTCCGGTGTGACTCTAGGCTAGTGGCAGCACCTCTCTGAGCCTCAGTTTCCTCGTCTGAAGCCTGACCTCACTGTGGGTCAGGGTGGGACGGGGCACAGAGCGGTGCAGGCTTTGTGGGGCTGCGTGGGCAGCTCGGAAGCAGTGGGGGAGGGGCCAGGGCCAGCCGTCCAGAACATTCCGTCAGCAGTTCCGGCCTCTTTGAAAAACAGGAAGCCAGCTCTCAAGGGAGGCCCCAGCGGGGCTTCCTGAGCCTCGCGTGCTGCGTGCTGGGTGTGCGCACGCACGTGTGTGTTGGCAGCGGCCCGCCAGGGCTGGAGGCGCG